ACGAAAAACACAAAGATACCCTTTTACTAGTAATATTAATTTATTAAATACTCCAAATACGTAGAAGGAAACGAATTATATATATATATGATTATTATACGACAACAGCTTAATTTTTAATACTTTATTATGATTTACATCTATATTAAATTTACTAACCTATTTGTATTTATTCTATTAATATTTTATGCAAACATGTCATATTTTTGGAATAATGATCAAATAACCATCTGTAGTAAGATTTCATGCGGATATTAACTGGGTTTTTTGATCCATCTGTAATTTTGGCAACATTATTTTTTTTTAATGATACATATTTTTTTATAATGAATGATAAATTGATAAACATTGAGCGATTGAAAATTAAGTACATATCTATTAAGTGACTAGTTACTTTTTACTTCTATACAAGCACAGTTTACACAGCTTTCCAAGAAAAAGCACTGAAAACTGAGTCTTATAAGTATTTTCCAAAAGAATTAATTCATAATCCACATATTATCCACATATCTTATTAAAATGCTAATAGTCATGTTTTACATCAATTTACAATTATTATTATACATTTAATTACCTTTTATTAATTTTAGAACATATTTTATTTATGTAATAATTTATTTCTCCAGACATAAATATGTACGAGTACTTAAGTTCATTAAAAAAAAATCAAAACAAATTTATTTATGAATGACACCGATGTTTTGTAAGCAAATTAAGCAACTCTTCTTCTTATTATTAACTTATTAATATATTTTTAAAATATTTATTTTGTCACTCTTATATATTATCAATGCATAATTTCTTAAATGAATCATATTTTTTTAATATAGATATAAATTCAATGCTTTTGATGCTCAATATATGTTGCAAAAATTATATTTCGTTAAAATGAACATTGTTACAAAAAAAAAAATATAATAGCAAGAATAACACTTAGATGTATTGGTTCTATCATTTAATGTAACGGGATACACATTATGTGGTCTAATAATTTATAAAGTAACTTTTATGGTGATAAAATTCAATTAATTTTAAGCCAATAATATGAAAAAGTTCTTCTACTTACAAAGTTTATATAATTATTTATACAGCTGGATAAATTGAATTTCTAAAATTGAAATTTTATATAAAAATTGTAGATAATTTATAATTTGCAGTATAATAAATGTATTAAAATTGGATTTTAAATTATGAAAACATTTCTAAAAAATGTAATTTTAAGTGCAGATGGAACTCATTACTTTTAAAATTTTAATATTATACATAAAGAAATATGCGATAATATATATATCCCGGGTTTAAAGTGAGGGGGACGCAAGGGAACTAAGTTTCTCTACCTCTCATAGCACTTACAAAGCATCCCCTTTAATATTTCTCCGAAAAGGTTATTAAAACGCTTAACTATTTGTTAAAAATAATCATTAACAATAAAACAGTTGAAATATTGGCTTTGCAATTTAGTTGATATCACTAGGTATTAAACAAAACTGTGTTCTATAAACAAAACTAAGAAATATATAAATTGTAAATTATATAGTAATTATATAGTACATACTTATATACATGTTTTTCAAAAATTTTTAGATAATTTTTAAAGAAAATTGTTCACTTACGAGTATAACACATAATATATATACATATTTATGATTAATTGTGTGACACTATATGAAACGCTGAGAATGATTAGAGTCCCCCTGCCCTTTTTTGCAATTTCAAACCCTGTATTTATCATTCTGTAAATGATTTTCTATTTAAATTTAACGTAACTATTATCAGCATGAATTACATTTATTTACAGTTTCTTCATTTTGTTTACTACTAATGCATCTTAAATTTTATCAATACGAACATAAAATAGTATCAATTATTAAGTTTTAGTCAAAAAAGCAAGATGAGCTTTATCATATAATAATGTGAGCATATTATTCTAATATTCTAACAAATTCTAAAAAAATATTACTCTTTTGTTTTGTTAGTAATAAAAATAAAAAAAGCCTAATGACCAGGTTTTAAACTCAGTCCTGGGTTTCATACGTTTATAACTCTTCATAAAATATATATGGGTTCAAGTTAGAATTTTTTCAAAATAAGTATTCGATACATATATCATTAGCTGAAAACTAAAATATAAAAGAATTTTTTTAGACAAAAAACTTTTATTAGTAAGCTACATATAAAAAAAAAATTAGATTGCTACATTTCAGATAAATTTCTTCTTTGTTATGTGAACATTTTTTCAGTCTATACACAGATTTATGAATGCTACCAAAATGAGATAGGTTTATGAATTACAAATATGCGATATATACTCTTAACCATTTTAGAATAAATTCAGCATTCACTAGAATTATATTTGCCCCACAACAATACACTGCATATACGAGTACTTTATGATTATTACGTCGTTCAGGAACAATATTTGAATAGTAAAAAAATGTTCTCATTACAAAGAAACTTTTACAATCTATAAAAATGTATTCAATAAGTTCCCAAGACAGTGTAACAACTAGATTTTGTGAGTTCCTAGTACAAACAATAGTCCAACTACAACAACAACAGTAGGGTCCTTTAAAAACGTTTCACCATAATTTAATTTAGTGAACATAATAATTTAAAAGAAACGATATTAACTTTTTTATATTAGCAATCTGGTTTTAGTAAATATAAAATATTTTAATTTTCCATGAAACCACAATATATTTGGAAATATTTTAACAGTTTTAAATTATTATTTATCTATACGGTACAAAAAAATATAAAATAATAAATGCATTTTATTTATAAAATATTAATTTATCAATAACAGAAATTATAAATTAGGTAAAAACATACGTAGTATAAGGATAAGTAATTGCTATGTATCGATTATTTATTATTTAATAACATTAATGTTTAGATTAAACTAAAATAATAATATATTACGATTTTGAAAAAAATAAAATTGTTGAGACTTTTTCATTAGCTAAATCGTCAATCACATTATATATATTCAAATCTTAAATTTTGTTGGATTCAATATTTAGAATACTTATACTTGTAAATCTTTCATTTCCAAAGTATTTTCTTAAATAAGTTTTTATAATTTTGATTTTGGAAAGAAAATGTTTCGGTGTCGTAACTGTGACGGGTAATGATGTAAAAATTATACAAGAAGTTTAGACATCTTTGTATAGAAATCTCATATTATTAACAACAGTTTCTGAAATATTATTAAAGCATCTTGTGTTTTTGGGGCCGTGTTTAAGCACAAATGAAGCCCAATTTAAAGTTCAATGTACTCTCGATCCCCCCCCCCGCTACTTATGTTACTGTTCCAGGATATATTATAATATCAATGAGAAATGTGAAGAAGTAATGATAGACTTTTCAAAATCTTATATGGTGGATATATTTCAAGATATATCACCGATCCTGCGTATTTTTAATAGATTTTTTTTGAAAAAATATTTATTTTTATTTAAGCTCATTATTCTTTATTTACAAAAATATATGATAAATTGTTTTTTATATTATTATTGTTATTGTTATTTTTATAATTGTTTATCTTTTCTAAAATATAATAAGCCCCACTTAACAGGTTCCTGTGGGGCCTATGAGTTCTTAGTTTACAATATTATAATAATTAGGTATATATTCATATTAATATAAGTATGTAATTTTAATTATTACAAGTAACTTATATGTATATATCTCACAATACAACAATGTATTCAGTGTTCTAATCAACATGAAAACTATGTTAAATTCTTCATATCTCTATAAAGCCATCGTGTTTTAAGTAATTTAATGATGTTTAGATATATAATCCATAAGTGTGTACAAACTTCAATTTCCGGTCGAGCCTAAATACAATTAGTGCCCCAATACTTAAACAGTACCCATAATTTTTTTCTAACACTTCAACATAGAAGATTCTGTTGTAAATGAAAAACAATGTAGTATTTATATATATATATATATATATATATATATATATATATATATATATATAGAATCAAGTATTATATTGCTAATTTTTAAACATATATTTTTGAAGTTAAAAGTAAAACTTTAAATTCTTTAAAATCAAATGATATAAATACAATTAATTGATTTCCACGAACATATTAAAATATATAAAGACATTTTATGGTTAGTTTAAATTTTACTATGCCCCCAAAAAAATTCCGGCCAAGCCGGGGCTCGCCCGGCTCGCCCCGTACGCACGTCTATGATATAATCTCATAACTATTAAATAGTTTTATTCTATTTACAACTATTTTGATACATTTTTATATATTCAGCTTTTAATGTATGTGTATAAAGTGCAATGTATGAACTACCCGTATCGTGATTTTATCGATTCGCGTAGGATAATGATTGAAGGTTAACTTTAAAATGTAGACGTAATAAACAAGTAGTGTTTTCAATTAAGAGCAAGCGTGTTTAATAAATAGTCGTTTAATATACTTGTTTTCATTTGATATTATTTAGTACAAACACTTCACCTGGTTTTTATTGTAAGGATATGTAGGCGAATAAATTTAATTGAGGAAGTTTTCATCAAATGAACATTTAAATCTGTAGTATTATAATAATAAGCATTAATACAAACAACATTTAATAATTATGAAGAAGTAATATACACTTTCAAAAAAAGTAGTATGAACATATGAAAACATATGATTGCAATTCGTCGGGAAAGAATTAATGAAAACGATGTTAGTATAAATTAAAATATTTTTTTTTTTTACGGTTCAATAAAAATTACAGAAACATAATAATACAATAAAATCTACCAACTCCCCGTAATATAGGTATCCGACCTACCAAAATATAGTCGAGCTATATAATGAAATATGTGTCTTTGATCTAATGATTTACACACAATATGATGTACTCGTATACATATTTACGTAATGATGTGTATATGCAATTTAACTATCTACTTTTTAAAATATTATCTCATCCGGGGTATTTTGTTAAAATAATCAAAATGTATTTTATGTTTTGTTTTCTAGAAAATGATACGAGTACCAGTTACGGTTTCGGTAACAGCAGTACATGTGAAAATGCCAGCCGTTCTATTGACGACTTTCCTCCAGACTTCTTCACCAACGAACAAAGACGTCACGGTGCGGTTGTCTTTCACTTCTTGGTGGCATTTTATGGATTCGTTTTCATAGCATTCGTGTGCAATGATTATTTTTTACCGTCGGTGTTTTGCATATGTTTAGGTACGTGTGTAACACATGTTTGACTAATAATAATAATAAAAATAATAATATTACCCTGTAATATAAGGTATTTGAATCCATTGATATGATCCTAAATTAATAATTATAATAGGTATATAGTTCTATCACGAGGACACATGAATGGAATAATATAATACCTATTCGAGTTTTAAAACATAACTTCATGAACGCGTTTTTTGTTTATTTTATTTATTATTATTTTTTAACTTTGTAACATGATACACTTTATGAAAATAATTCCAAATTACAGGTAAGAGGGGATTAGTTAAATTTCACAAGGATCAAGGGCCTATTATAACGATTACTTATTGAGTATCATTTGAATCACGACCATGATAACTGTCTCCTTGATAACAGTATCCTTGACATCGAGACAAATCGGAAGTGTAATATAGATTAAAAAAAAATCTCCTTAGAGAATATGTAGGTACACACAATTTCTCGTAAAAAAAACACAAATTTGTTTGAATAATAATTAGCTCTACAAAAAAAAAAAAAAACAATGCTATACTATTGTGAGTAAATATACTCATTTTCATCAAAGTCTCGACCACATCAAGTCAATTTCGATCAGTATTAATTACTTGTTCGCATCAATAATGTTGATATTTACTTGATATTCATCTACACAAATATAAACAATACTATGCAAATCAATAACAGAAATGAAAATAATTTGCATTTATTATTATAGATTATTTGTATATAATCAGAAAATAAACGATTTAATTGATGATAATTATATGTGTGTTCAACTTTGATCAACGTTCCGAAACCAATAAATGGAGGTTCCTAAGTATTATTTAATCCTAGCTACTAGTAAATATGATTGCATAACATTTAGTTAAACAATTATTAAAAATAAAGTGTATAGAAAAAAATCAATAAACATGAGTAGGTATAAAATGTTTAAGATTCCTAGTAGCCCCTGTACTGGGTAATTTAATACAGTAAAGACGTAGACAACCTTAAAATTTAAATTATGAATTTAATTAATTTAATCACAAATATTTTTGACCTCTAAAATTTAATTATTGGTTAAATGAATGAATAAAATTGAAACATTTTTAAATTTAATATTATATTAATTAATCATTTTCAATAAATTGAAAATTTTTCAATATTTTGGAGAAAAAAACGATACATATATATATTTATACATTGTTCATAAAAGTTCATAAAAGATTTTTTTATTTAAGAAACTTACAATAATGTATAAATGTATAAATTCATTTGTCTCAACAGTTAAAATATATAAAGAAAGAGAGAAAAAAAATGTATTTACATACACTCACATATTCATACATTCAAAATATATAAATAAGAGAAAAAGTTAATTATAATAAAAATCTCTCTGAGAGGAAAAGTTGATGATAGCTTTGATCAAGGGTGGATTGAAAGATTGGAAGTTCATAAAATATATTTCTTAGTTTTTGAAATGAAAACAGTAAATAAAATAGTAATGATCATACAATTTTTAAATGTATTATATAATATATGATACATAAACACACGTAAACACAAGTGCTATTTACTCATGTTTTTTTTTTTTTTTATTGTACTATTTTCTAAAAATTATTTAAACTGTTTTTATTATTATGTTATTAACAATAATAATATTTCAATACCGTGAATGATATTATCACACAGATGTCACAGACAGAATTGTCTTCAAATGTTTTTTTAATGTCCGTGTATATTAAAGCTCCGTTGCTACCGTGTTTTTTTAAGACGTTTTCCGAAAGAAAATAAAGATTAACCTACTTATGTGTTAAATATTAAGAATATTTTTAGTTTTAAGCACAAGGTTATTTAATTAAAAGAAATAAAAATTTCTTACTCGAATTCTTTGTTTAAATATCAGTCTCTAAAGTTCCATAATCGTGTTTTCCATCAAATCATTTCGTTATGCTTAGAACCAGTGCTCGACTTGTGGTGGGACGCAGGGGGACGGAATACCCAAACTAATTTTCAGAAATTTTAGCGTCCCCCTACTATTATTACGCTATAATCATAACGCTCAGCCAGTTTTAGAGACGTTCTTTTTTTAAAGTAAATAGAGTTCCCCTTCTTTAATTTTGCCTAGTCGAACACTGCTTAGAACTACATATTTATTTATTTATTTATTTATTTATTATTATATAACGGGCACAAGGCCCAAAAGTGCAATATTACATTTTACATACATTTGTATAATCTTGTACTTGGTAACAGAAAGTAATTACAAATATTGGTTAATACAACTTAAATAATACAGTATTTTGATGACATAAAGGAATTATTAATTAACAAAACACATAATGAATTTAGTATTATAAACTGAATAGGGTAGGATGCTCATTGGCCAAACGCATCATTCGATCAATTGGGTTATTCTTACCATAGTTTGTATAATGGAAAGGAATTAAAAAAGGAAAACATGATCTTGAAGAGCGAGGGGGAACTCTAAAGTTAACTTGGGAGAGTAAGGAGGGAGCATCAATACTGTCATTAATTAGCTTACTCAAAAACATCAAATTAGCTGTCATACGTCTATCAACCAGGGAAATCAAACCAAGCTTATTAGAGACAGAAAGGTAATCATGCTTATTGTGCTGTATTCCCAAAATATTGGCGGCAGATGAAAAGAAACGTCTCTGGACTTGCTCTAGATGTGAGGAGTCAGCTGTCGTGTACGGATCCCAAATAACGGATGCATACTCTAGTAAGGACTTCACCAGAGAACAATACAGCGTTTTAAGTGAGGTGGCCAGCTTAAAGTTCTTCAACGTTCGGATAACAAAACCTAGAGTCTTGAACGCTCTACAACAGATTGACTCTATATGATTGTGAAAATTGAGATCAGAACAGAATATTACTCCCAGATCTTTTTTACTAGTGACCATATCTATACTTGAGCTATTTATAAGCCATATTATTGTAGATTCACTGCATAGCGTTAATTCTCAATAATAATAACTATTATAAGTATGCATGGCGTAAAAATTATGATTGGACATAGAAAGATGGTTACCGATAACGTCCATTTTCTTTTCGTCGTCGATCAAAAAATAAATCGTAAGCGTTTGATAGACGTTTACGTGATACAACATTACGCTGCAGCATAAGTGATCGTTATGTCGGTCGAACATAACGCACGTAATGCGTGGATATGATGGGCTAGTGGAGCAACTAGGGAAAGTCTCTAGGTCCGGACCCCCTCCCCCTTCAACTGTGTCTTATCTTTCTAAAATAATAAAAATGTTTGGCGAAATTGAATAATTGATTCGAAGATTGATTTAAGAAATTCCACATCAAAAAGAAGACTCAATGGATTAGCTACTCTCAATATCTACTACGAAGTCAACGTAATACTTGAGAAAGTAATATAACATTTAAGCTTTACAAAACATTGCTTAGATTTCAATTTCTAAACTTGTACATACCTTTTATTTTTATTTTTTACGTAATATATTTAATTATCATTAAATTTTACATTATAATTAGAATATTTACATTAATCATTACAATAATTAAATTTGCTAGCTATTTTTAAATAATTATATTTTTGTACCCCCCTCTAATTCCTCTATAATCCTGGTTGCGCCATTGTGATTGGCACAAAGTAAAAAAACGTAGGATAAATGCAAAGTAGAAATCACAAAATAAAACAATCTAATAATTGCAAATCAAACGTGATTTTTGTTATAAAAATATTCTAATCATTAGCTAAAACTGATAAAAATTACCTCGATCAAAATGGCGGTTGATTTTTTATTTATTTATTTTTTTGTCCCTACCTTAGTTGTTCTGTTCTGTGCTATTACTGCCCGTTAACGAGACGAACGCATCTATGGTTATGTCGTGGTTATATTGCGGTTCGATCGGGACAAGTCGCCGCCACAAGAACAAAAGCATATTTTAGGGAGGGGCGAAGGGGGCGACCCCCCCAGAATCCATATTAAATGAATCGATTATATGTGAGATACACATTTCAATTTTTTTTTAATGTAAATTATTTTATAATGAAATCAAATTACACGTAGCTGTGAATACTGAATTGGGATTTCTGTCGAGTCCACACTTAGTGAAAAATCAAATAAGACACAAACGTACTTTCAAAACACAGACAGGTATTAAAATAAAACGACACAAAAGTTGATACTAAGTGGATTCGGCATTAGATTTAAAAAAAAAACCACAAATATTAAGGACTCACCTGATTTAAATATTACCAACAATTTTTTTTGTACATGTTGAGCTTGAATTAAAGAAAACATTTGATTCCCGCTCCCTAGAAGTAAGTCTGAATACGCTCCTGCACAAGGATAAGGTGTTTCTAACTTCCGTCGGTAAACGTGTTTAAGAATTGTTAACGACCGCAAATCCCAGCGATATTATAATTACCACTGCTTAAAACGTTATCCGCTCCCCCTTCCCTTCACCCTGTACGAATCGTCAACGCGCCGTGTGAAACGAGATAGGGTTGCATTGATGTGATTATTAATGTGGTTTGTGTGTACCTTTTGCGCAGACCTGGGCATCTCACCGGACGTGGCGGGCGCGACGTTCATGGCAACGGCCACGTGCGCGCCGGAACTGTTCGTCAGCGTCATCGGAACGTTCCTGACCGAGTCGGACCTGGGTGTGGGCACGATAGTGGGCAGCGCCATATACAACACGCTAGGCGTGTCGGCATGCGCGGGCCTGGCCGCCAAAAAGGCCATCAGACTGGAGAAGTGGCCGCTGCTGCGCGACAGCGGCGTGTACATTGTGGCCATCGTCGCGCTGGCCGTCATCGTGGTCGACGACGTGGTCATGTGGTACGAGGCGCTGTTCATGTTGATCATGTACTTCGGCTACTTCCTGTTGATGTTCACGCAAGGCAAGCTCCGGATGGCCGCGAAAAAGTTGAAAAACAAGAACTCCTTCCGGTCCTGTAAGTGACTACTGCCTATTATTATTATCATCATCATCATCGTTCCTCGCACTCGTCATATCGGTTACACGTGAAACGTGTGCGTGGGATCATAATATTATAATTTGTTGTTACGCGCCCGAACACTATAACATCGCAGTGGCGGCTCGAACTTCCCCCTCCTCCTCCTACTTCTCCTCCTCCGAATCTAACGCACAGTCACATTAATCGTACACCCCGACATTATCTTATCCCCCTATCCTCCCCGATTTCGTTCGTATGCAATACAAGTTTTTGAATTCGATGTCTGCAGATGTCTTAAGACCGGTTCACGCGCAACGAATTATCGTCCGTTTTGCTGGATATGTAAAACGTACAATAAAACGTACATTTTATAATGTCTCCAGTGTAGACTCTTCACGTTCAAATTTTTATCCAGTTTCACTGTATTTGGTTACGCTCTTCAGTAGTATTCGATTAATTTAATTATTGAAACTCAATAGTTTAGTAGAGAATTAAACTTAAAAAGGACGAAAAGTTTGTACAATGCATCAAGTCTGTATTTACATGTAACGACTTGTCGTTCAACTTCACGTAAAGTGAATCCGCACCCATCAGTCTTTCGATTCAATCTTGGATTTCTTTCCGATTCAATAAGACGTACGATTTGCTTTACCACACACTTCGTTTTACTTGATACGATTAGTTATGTTCGATAAAACGTACAATAAATCATGCATCGAGTAATGAAGTATTCCGATTGGTGGTTTGAAGTTTTTAAAAAAAAAAAAAAAAAGGATGCATTGCGTTAGTAATTCTTAAATATGAACAACCCCTATGAACGATTTGCGAATCATGTAATTTTGATACACCCTCTATCACAGCCACCATTGCGTGTGTTCGTATGCGTGTTTCCGTCGACGGCGACTACATAGTACGTTATGTAACTATACGACGCCGTCAATAACAACAAACAATACATCAAAATACGCTTACCGTCATTGTAAACGCACTCGTAACACTAACTTTTAAGTTGACCACGTGCTCACGTAGTAATACAGCACACTACTGTAGTAACAGACGTACCGATGTGTAAAACACTTTTGTATTATACGTATAGGTACTTGGTGTAGGTATTTATAGCGTTGCTTGCTGAACATCTGATGCGACGTACAATGCATCTATCTCATTGTACGTATTTTATTCTTAAACATATAAATGTATACTTACCTATATCTTACGGTATGTTTGCATGGGTGTCGGCTATAACATATTCGGCCGCGAACGAGACATGCGGTGACACTACATTACATGTTATTCATTTGCATTGCGATGTTATCGATATACTATTGCGGTGCATACAATTGTTAATTATTGTACGGTAAATGCATTGCAATCGTGACGCATGATCCTTGCAAAAGGTCTTACACCTTAACTTGTTACCCTTTATCTTTGTTACCGGATAAACTACTGTGGAGGGAAATTTGAACTCTCAGAAATATATTCAATTAAAATAATTAATAATAATTAATAAATTATTCACAACCAGTCGAAGCAAGAGCCATAATATCAAACACAAAACCATCACTCACCATTTCAAGAGGTAAAAACGGTAGTCCAAAAAAACTATTTAAAAATATACCAATTTCCGAATTCGTTTTAAAATCATCCGTTAAACCAGCAGTTTGAATTCTTCGTCACTTAATAATTGTTAATTAATTATCAAAATACAATTTGTTTAATATAAAATATATTTAGTTAGTAAAACTAAGAACTAACTACAGACCAGGGACGGCAAACGGTCGATCGCGATCGACCAGTTGATCACGGACGATTTCAGAGTCGATTATGTTAGAATTTATTTTTAGGCCACGTGCACTTCGACAATGCCCAGATCAACAAAATAAATATTAAAATGTTAATTAGATTTAAGTATTTAGATTTTAGAATTTATTATATTATTTTTAGTAATTAGTAATTAATTTATAATACTTTATGTATGTTTATATACATTTTAAGCAAGTATGTTTCTTAATAATTATAATTATTTAATAATAAAAACATTTTTCCAAGAAAGTCGATCTTCAAAAGTGAAGTATATTTTTAGTAGATCGTGGCCGAAAAAAGTTTGGTTGCCTTTGCTACAGACGATTGGAAAGTTTAAGAACAATTTAAAAATTACTTTAAAAATATACTTTTGGACATTTAACTTTTTATTTAATTAAATAAAAAAATGTTTAAAAAATGACCAAATATCCCAACTTTGTTAATTATTAATTAAGATTAATTATATTATTACCAGGATTGACCCAAGTAAAAGTGACATCCGTGATTTTGTCTTCTGTTGAATAGCTGTATGTAACGCAATTTCAAAGTCAACAAATACCGTGTCTGGTGAAAAAATAAAATCCAGCTTGGAACACTCTTCATTTAGATGTCTAAAGGCATTTATATATGTTTGAGTTTCTTTATCATAAAGTAAAATAAATTCTAACAGTATATAATAATCATTTAACAAGTCCATGAATCGTAAACATTTGTAGAAAATGTTTTGAACAGTATTGAAACGTACCATCGACGTAAATGGTTAGGTTATTTACATTTTTATTACATGAAAATAATATAATATTATTTTGTTTGTTATTGACAAAGACAAAACTTTCACTTTCAGTTGTAAGTACTGGATATTCTTTTAATGTATCGTATACTTCTTTGATATTTATTGAAATTTTTGGCTGAATTGACCTACGAGCATTTTACATGTATTTTCAAATTAAATTTATATCGTTAGTTGTAGATGCAATATGGCTAATAGTACCAAGTTCTGCACAAATTATCTTCGATGGTTTCAAGCTAAGATTCAAAAGGCATTTTCATTTTGATGTATTACTCAGTTATTGAGGTAAATATAGTCGTCTGGAATATGGTTGTGTAAATAAATGACGCCGAACACGTACTCTAGGTAGTTCAATTGAACTGCCTAGAAAATTAGAATATTAAAAAAAAAAAGATAATTTAAATATTTAAATTTTTTTTATATATATATTTTATATATATCTAATTTGATCGTATATAATTTTTACAATATTTGTATATTTTGAACGAAAAATTTGGTTTTTTAAAATTTTATGGTAACCGAACTTATAACCATTAATTATATAAAATCATTATTCACGCACAATTTTGAACTATACATTTTTAAAGGGAATTATCCACGTTATCATTGTTATCCATTATGTTGTTGGCTATCTCGGTTTACTTGGTGCCTGAAGTCTAATAAAATCTAACAAATTGTAATAAACGTATATAAAAAACAAATAAAGCTGATAAAATGTTTGCGAACAAAATGTTAATACGATTCACTCAATTTATTGAACCAATATGTAAAGTTGATTAGTTATTGTTGGATATCATACATTAATTTTAGTTAACATATCGATGGCTATGGTATAGCCGACTTGCAAATTACCAGGTCGAATTTATTACCGGCTTAATCTACGTTTTTTTGGGATGCAAGTAGTGTGCGGTTTTCATAGTTGTATGTTTTCAAGGGACAGGAGGTCTAAAACCTTAAAAAATTAAATAAATAATTTTTATTACAAAGGTACTGTACTTATATAAGTAGGGTACTTATAGGGGGGCAGTCCAAATTAAGGGCACCCCGACCCTGTCACCCCCTCCATTTGTTAACTACTGTGCCACTGTGCCTGTCCTAATATATGTTGACCTCTCTTCGACTCACCCTGAAAAAAGTTCCTGGCGCTGCCACCGTATATATACACTGACGAATTATACGGTCATTTTGTTTTATTCGACGAGAGTCATTATATTTATGATGGATTTTTGTCTATAGGTAGACGTCGAGTTTGAATACGTATTTTAAAACGCACGTGATTCCGATGAAAACATCACACAAGTAACTCGTAATAATATATATTATATTATATATGTTACGATAAACAATAATTACATCCATGCTATTAACTTCTACAGCCGACCATATTAAAACGCAATATTATCGTGCGAAATGTATTATTATTTGAACTCGGGGTTTAACGATTCATGCGCATATGTAATATTCGTATTCACCCGGCGGCGGCGTACGCACTACGTGTGTAACGTTATACTCTTATTATATAGTTAAATTATCGCCTCTATACGTTTTAAGAATGGGTTTGAATTTTGCAACTGTTCAAAAAAAAAAAAAAAAATTTGAAAGCGGACAAACTGGTTGTTCGCGCATACAGGCGTACTACTTATATAACATTGTTGTGTTCGTACGAATTCCAATACAACATTGTTGTCAAAAACCGATATGGATATTATACACGCACGCACCCGCCCACACATGCACGCATTATCATATAGGCGTTCAAGTATTATAAATGTATGACGTACGATGTAGTGATGAATGACGTGGTCACATGTCCGCACGGTTTTGTGGGCAGTCGTTGGCCGCAGACGAACGCAGGGGAAATACGTTGTATAGGGTAGGAACGTGCGTTTTCGGCTTGCATTAATTAACAGTCTTTCGCTGGCGCGCCATTTGCCTGCAGTAGGCATACACGGGTACTGTTGAAAGTGACCTTGAAATGACAATTATATTATGCGTATATTACAAATATTATTAACAATACGTTTAAATTACATATATGTACCTAAACGTGTTTATTTGCACTATTACTATTTAAGATTAACTGAATTACACGCAAACAGCTTGGATATATGCATACAGAAATGTCCCGATCTGCGCACGATGTTCAATGTACGTATTATAGTACACGTATAGTACTTGTCTCGCTCATTATTGTTGGTGATTTTAATATTTCTTCTACTTGGCCAAAGGGTATTCGCCGTTTTCAGATACATTGTTTTACCATCTCTGTTTCTCGATTAGACGTTCTACTAAATTAATGGGTTATTCGTTTTTAAATGCTACTCGGTGTAATACTATTATGTACTACCACTACTAATACTATACTAATTACTATTCTCATTTTTTTTCGGGTCCGTGTTCAGGTTTTTCTCAAAATTTGAAAATAATCTGGATAGATCTGGGTATTCCACAAAGCTGATTACATGCGGATATTTAGTTTGAGTTAAAAGTCTATGCTTGGTCTAGGGATTTTAGAAGTTTATTGGAACATAATGCAACCAATGTATTTTATAACATTTGTACCATTACTATTGATAAGTACACGTTTTCAAGTCTAAATACTTTAATACTACATTTTCTTTGTGGTTTAAAACTAATTTTGTTGATCTAATTCGTTTTGTTATTCTTATAATATTTAGAGTTAAATTTCAAAAGAAATTAATAAACAATTCAAAGATATATTATACATTTATATGAATAATCTCATGCATAATATTGGTATACCGTTCAATATCAAATATGAAGATAGACGATCATTGACGGTTCTAAAGTAGTTAAACTGATATTTTTTTTTCTATTTACCTACTCTAATAAATCTATTTGTACCACATTGTTAAGAACAGTGACTATATACATTTATATGTTTGTACTTGTAATAGTATTCGATAAGAATGGTAGTGTGTGTATATAGTAGCTGTAGACGCCGAAGCCCTATTGGTGTACCCTCTTTATTTTTACGATATTGTCGTCATCCTTAGTCAGTTCCAGTCCAAGTATTATTGATGTTATCTTCGAGTCAGTTACCACATATATTGGAAACTTATTTCAATATTAGTCTATATAAAAATGTCTATATTCAAAATTTCCCTAACATTATTATAACAGACAAATTTTAAAATTATTACTAACACATGTATAATTTAAGATCAGGAAAAAATAACAAAAAATTATTCAAATGAATACTTAATTTACTATCAAGCACACGTTTTTTATATTTACATTAAAATATGACATAATTCAGTATGATATTTAATAATGTTTTTATGGGCTGTGAATAATTGGAATCTCAATTGTATAAAAAAAATGTATAAATAATAACTAATCACTTAATATAACCCTTAAATAAAATAATTCAATTTTGATCAATTTATTATTATTTTTAATTGTATATTTAACTATGCTAGTGTAATATATTTGGGAATTTTTCAATCACTAAATTTGAGTCCTGCTTGAATAAGTTATAATTTTTTTTTATATGTACTTAGTTATTCATATAAGTGGTTCATTTTTTAATTATTTTATAACGTATGTGCAAACGATTGACGCAATTATGTAAGCAAACTAACGAACAAAGAGAATAAGTCTAAAGATAACATGCTTAAATTTATTTCATTTTTAAAATAAAAAAATCTATTGAATTATTTTTAAACAATAAACGCATACAATTTAGAAGGATTTTAACAATTATAATCTACATAATATCTACCAATTAAATTATGGTAAAATATACTCAAAATACTATTAGCTATGCAAAATGTACTTGTTGGGGGAAGAGGGGTTAAGTTATATAAAACTTTTTTATGTATTTAAGCCTCAAGGATGAGTGTTCAATTCGAGGTAGGGGACCGTTTTTCAAAATAATCAAACCAAAAACATTAAAATGTCTACATTTATTTTTACATCACATCATTTCTACTTACAAACAATAAATGTGTAATTTACTTAAGTCTGTACATAACATGTATAAATTATTATAATGATAAATTATGTATTGTGTAAAACGTATAATTGTAAACCATACCCGTGGTGTTGAGGGTAATTTAATAGGGAAATCATACATCGGTAATGCAATTATTCTGTGTAATATAATAAAATTATTATTATACATGTTTCTATTAATTTCTAATGATATTCGTTCTAGAACTTTCGTAAATGTATTACATATTGCCCGAGTTATTATGTTTCATATTTTGGTTTTTTTCTAAAAAAAAACAAAAAAAAACAGTTTTTTTTATATAAAATATAAATATAAATAACAAGGAACATATATAAAATAATTTAACATATTAAAATACATAGTATCCCCTACAGTATTGTACAATGTACGATTGCTGATAGCATTATTTCTATTATTTAATATAATACCACGGATATATCTTCTAAGACAGTGCTACAGATTATATTAAACTAATAATCTAAACTGAGATAAAACGGTATACCAAAGTTTATCAATAAACTCAATAAACCTTGCGATGTACCTACATGGCTTCATGACTACATAGTCAAAAACTATCATCTTCGTCTATCACTTGATCAGTTATTGAGATTTTATAACTATTAGCAGTTAGTTACTCGTGTATTATGTGTTGTGTATATAATTAATTATAATTAGTAACAACTCGTAACCAGAAGAGAACTAGGAATTTTTACCTTCGAGGAAAATATTAAAATTACACCCTGTCATAGATCAAGAATCAATTACCCTTCCCCATACAATTTTTTTCTTATAATTAGCATACAATCATACTTGTTTAGTTCTAAACACATTACCATTAAAAAAGTTTAAAATATCAAACTAGCAGTCAATTATAGATTAAATACTAAAAAAATTACATCCTCTAAAAATATATGCTCGGGGATGCATTCTCGTTTTCCTACCTTTAGTTCCGCCCCTGCTCGTAACTTAAAATTTTCAAAGTAGTTTAATCTATTTTTTTTTAGTATTTACTACATATATCCTAATTCCTAAGTTTCTAGATATATAATACATATTCCATAATTTTAACATCAACTTTAACTCTAAATTATTTAAAAATTAATTTAAAACACTTAAAAAATAAAATAAAATAAAAAATATATTTCAAACAAAAGTTTTAAACGTTTTAAACAATGTTGATGATGTTTTAAATAAATTATTTAAAACAGATTTAAACGTTTTGATTAAAACAAAATAACTCTGCATATTGTATACTATGAACAACAGCGTATGTCCCTTTTAATAAAATAAATTACAAAAAAGATATTTACTATTTACTTAATTAATACTTTTCGATAGTAAATCAATAAACTTATAATAAACCTTATGATTAATGGTTAAAATATGTTGTTGGCTACTATCTATTGCCATTAATTATCGAAGAATTTGTAATTTATCCCATAAGTTATTATATAAAACTTTTTCTATATTATCGCTTGATCATTTTTAATTTAAAATGCAACCTATTAAAATTACATTACCTAAGGTTTTATTAACCCTGAGATACATCAATACTATACAGAGACCGGTAGTAGTAAATCTTTAGCCGTCTATGACGTTGCCCGGGTTTACAGCATGGGGAAGTGATCTAACATCGGAACCATACACATTCCACTTTTTATGTATTTATTTTATGTATATTTTTACTTTCATGTATTGTTATTTGCATATAGATTATTGTCGTACTATTTTTCAATTTTATTTTTTTATTATATTATAATGTCTATGTAATGTTTGTTTTTATCGTGGCTGTCGACGCGACAACGATGAATCGAGGGACCAGTCACTTGGTGACACAATAATAAAAATGATATGCAATTTTTGAATCAGATTTTTGTCGCCCGAACAAAAATGGGTAGGCAACTCCAATGTCTTTGACGTAGATGATATTAGGTAAGCAATCTAACTTTATCCTATCTCGGCGGTGCTGTAGCGGCGGCGGCGATAAAAGCGAGATCGGCAATGAAGCGATAGGGGAATGGAATCAAGATATTTTTGCACGGGAGAACAGGAATTAGAGATTAATTATTAGAGGAAGGTCTCTGTGGTCGGATCGATTTGGTGTAATGACCACAGAGCTCACACAAAATCGGACGACTAATGCTAAACACTCGGGCTACAACTTACAATGACTAGACAGGACACTGGTAACGAATGGTAATTGACTTCTGGGCGACCTGGATGGCCTTACATACTCTACGAGTGCTGGCGGACCTACGTTGATGACACCGGACGACTCTTGGACTGGCTGCAATGAGAAGAACGCAACCGAAAAAAACTCACTTGTACACGGAGCACGATGATGACAGCCAAAACACTCAAAAGATACTGGATATAATTCACAATACACGCATTGGTAAAGGAATAAATAATCGGTAACTAAAACAATTTTTTGGTAAATGAATTAACTTTATTCAGTTGAATAATAAAATACGAAATGTCACAATGGCGAGAATAATAGTAATTAATAATATTAAACTTAAAAGAAAAAAAGTGTTGCTGATAAGAGTCCGTTTAATTGGGTCCAACGTCATAATCACACCCGCACGATGAGTTCAAGAAGGACCTTCACAAATTGCGCTTATTTGTGTGAACAATGGCCATACATAAAAAATGTAATATTTTCTTCGGTAGGTACTATAACATACGTTTTTTTCAGTCAACAGATAGGTGATTAGTTAAAACTGCAGGAGATAGATTCCACATAATATTTTTATAGATGGTTAATAAGTTTAATTTTCTTAGGAAAACGGTTACAAAATACCAGAAGTAATAAGAAAAAATATATAATTTTAATAAATAACATTATATGTTAATAACTCAGCAAAACATTATATTGTGGGCCGTTGTACAAACCTGCAGTAGATTTGTATGACGCCCTTTGAACACTCCACAAGCTATGACCTGCCGATACTACATTACCTTTATAACTGTTTACCCACTTAATAATCAATCAATGAACTTTCAATTCATGTCCATATTATATAAATAGTTGGTGCCTGTATACTATTTACTGTTACAGGGACTATAGTTTTCGATTACGTTCAACGGCTGTTAATCAATGTATTGTTTTACGGGAAATTTACTTCGAACGAATCTCGAAGCATTACGTTGCATGAAAGTTGTACTACACAAGCATGCCAATACGGAACGGGTTGGTTAATAGTTAACGCTTTGAAACATTTATTAACAATAATAAGTTTGTAAATACATACAGTTGCTCAAAGTTCGAATTGTTAACAGTCAAAATTTGAAGGAAAACAGCTCTATTCATTAATTATAATAATAATTAAACATGGTTCTAGAAGCCGGTAATACCCAAGAAACAAAAATTAAATAAACATATTACATAATATTATTTTCACTATTTATTGCACGTTTTTTAACAATGCATACCTAACATCTTCCATCGCGCATAGGTGGTTTGACATATTCCATTTGGTGATTCGGGAATACGTAGATAATAAATACCCACCCACCATATCTAGTTACATTTTAATAATTATATTTTTTTTATTGCGCACTTTTTACTAAGTCAATTTAATTATTGTACATACTATTTTTCACCACACGTTTGTTTTTAAGATTACTTGGTCATCAGATCATTATACCAGTGATTATGGAATAAGCTTTCTAATATATTTTATAATCAATAATAATACCAACTGGTTATCGAATGCAAGTTCTCATCCATCACATCTGCCACCTAATTGTTCGACGGTTTGGCGAACCGTAAAACACGATGTATCATGCCACCTTTGTTCATTTAATAATACCCTAACAACGCATACTTTCATCGTGTTTGCTATTATATCCATTCTACTATAACTAAGCGAAACATGAGCTTTTATCGTACTTCAAGTTTTGATATCCCGAAAACGCGCAGGGGCATGCTTATAACTCTACTCTCTCGTTGTTTCTTTTACAGCTACAAACACAGTGAAACCACCGGCGTTCGACATCGGTTATGGTGTTTACCGTTCGTTCTACTTCACAGAATACGTGCCGGCGAAAACGACCCAAACGTCTAAAGATCTCAACCAGGCGGACGACGGGGAAAAGAGTAAATATTAACCGCAGCGATGTTGCATTACGTTATTATATAAGCGCGTTAGGGTACCCTTCAGTGGCACATCCCGGTCATATTATTGGAGGATCTAGAATATTTTTTATCCCCGGACTATTATTAGTAACTTATTGATAGTCATTGCAAATGCCAATCTAGTTGGAAATTGAAGGCGTTTAAATTGTATTGGCACATCTGTGGGTACAATAGGGATTTGCGGTAATAATATATTTTCACCTCAGAATTTGCCATTTAAAATGATGACTTCGATAACATTTTTCATTAATTTTTTAACGACTTATCGCGTGCCGTTGTACAACCGTGGTGGGTCAAATTACGAAGCAAAATAATCGGAAATCAAACCTTCAGTTGTAAATTATGCGGTGGCATGCCTGGTAAATCCAATGAGTTTAAAAACTCTGTTAGATAATTTACAGCTTCAGTAGCATCGCAAACTGTATCAATAGATTTGTATAACACCAAGTCTCCTGGTAACAAATGTTGTATCTTGAGATTCAATTCGTTGACATACACATTTTTTGCTGCTAAAATTGCTCTTTCTGCAAGGCACTCATGATTTGTGTATTGTCTGTGTACCTTGGGAAATATCTGGTCAATGAGAGCATCTTGCGAATCAATGATTGTGCAGAAATCGGTCGGTAATTGTATGCATCCCGTTTCATCTGTAGTAACTTTCCCATCACCGATATCTAATAATTGTTTTGATAATCTTCCCGTACGCAGCCTTTTTTGATTGAATCGCAAGTATTGTAATCGTTCGCTCTCTATCTTTACATATATGTCGACCATGAATTGTTGACCAAGCTCACGACATCGTAGAATAATGTTGTCCTGATCGCATCTTATCATCAACCGATTTGCATAATAATCTTTCGAACTAACATTCTTGTTTGTTTTTGCACCTGTTGCGAGATCTTGTTATTTAATATTTATGCTATACCCGTCGTTTAATACCAAAAATAAAATTAATAGTTTTTAGATATATTTTAATATTTTTCTAATAGTTTTTTAATAGTATCATTTAATAATTAATTTTCAATTGCGCAGTTATCGACCGGGTTAAAAATTATCAAATTAAACTACGATTTATTAAACAATAGCACCTAAAAAAAAATAGATAAAAACCTACTCGCAGACCTACCAAATGTATATACAAAATTTCATTAAAATCGGTTAAGCCGTTTTGGAGGAGTATGGTCACAAACACTGTGACACGAAATTTTTATATATATAGATATTCAATTTAATAATAATAATATATATTTTAATAATAATAACTGCAGCGCATCATGGAGATACCGTTTTTTTATTTTCCCTCGATCCAAAACTTAAAGCTCGTCCGACGTCCCCTCCGAGAGAGGTCGCTCGACGTGCGCTATTCTATTAACGGTGCCACTACGGGGTGCGACTTAACCCGGCCAACGGTTGTCGCGACGACGTTACCCGTAAACTTGCAGCGTAAAAAAAAACCGTGCCATATGTACATGTGTAGTTTCGCCGATATGGAAAGCACCCGAGGGCGTGTTGCCCACCGTGTGGTGGGCGTTCTCGCTGCCGGTGGCATTCGCGCTGTCGGTGACCGTGCCGGACTGCCGGACCAAGCGCAAGGTCTACCCGTTCACGTTCATCATGTGCATCATCTGGATAGGCATCAGTTCGTACATTGTGTCCTGGATGTTGGCCGTATGCGGTGAGTACGCGGATCGCCGCGGGTCCGGGCCGTAACTCGTTGGCGCGCAATTTATGAACAACGGAAACCATTTATGGGAGAAATTTAACCACGTATACGGGCGGTGTACACGACCTGCGCACCTCTCTAAATGTTCGAACTGTTGTTACTGACGGTGGCAAATTATTATACTAGCACATTTTCCTAGGGGCGGACTGGGTTAATATTTCAGGCCCGGAATTTTTTTTGCCAGGCCAAAAATTAACAGGGGACCAACGATTTGGTCATAAGTAGAGCTCGGATGTTAATGACCAAAATTTCATTCAAATATTTAAAAATTTAAAAATATGCAAATATATACTTCAAAATATATCAAATATACCTATTTTTCAACAAAAATGTGCAAAAAATATACGCAAAAAAGAGGTTATTATTAATTCCAAATAAATTATAAAAAAAAATGCATGGTAGAAATGAATTACTATAAATATAAATATATAAACTAAAATACATGTTACGTAGGTTAAATAATTTAAATATTAAGATTGCATTGTATAACAATGATTTTGGATATATTTTCAAATTTGAAAGATCTTCGACGATCTGACAGTATGTTTTTGTAAGCTGAAAATGACCTCTCCACGTCTACAGAGTTAACCGGAGCGTACTTAAAGTTAACAATATCGATAATTTCTATAGCTTCAGGAAGTCCATTAAACGAATCTGTTTTGCCATCTATTATTTTAGAAATTTTGTATAATACTTTATACCCAGAATTTTTGTCCAAAACTTTTTGAAATTTTTTGTATATTGATTTACCTTGAGGAGATGAAGCTGCAATTAATAATTTTTCTGAAACGACGTTTATAATGGCAACTGAACTTCATAGAGATTTCCCCTTTTCTTCGAGAGATATTAGAGCCGAAGATAAGAATGAAAAATTTATTTAATAAAAGCTAAATTGGCTTCAACTCTACGTTCAACTATAACTTCTTGAGCTGTTTTTTATAGACAAAGCATCATCGGGATCAAATTTTTCTATAATATTTTAATTGTTTTATATGAGTAGCAGTAATAAATAGCCGCATTCAATCACGTCCCCCAACGTGTAATTACTGGTTCTGGGGGCAAACTTAGTTCTGGTGCTTCGTCTTTAAATATGTTTATTCTTGCTGGACATTTAAGAAAGACTTTTTTGACAGAAGAAATAAGTTTGTCAACCAACGGAAAATCACTGCGGATTTGCTCAGCTACACGATGTAAAGCGTGAGCGAGACAAGTTACATGAAGCATTTTTGGGAAAAATGTACGAATCGCTGATCCGGCCTTTACCATGTATGGTGCGGCGTCACTAACTAACAATAAAACATTATTGTGTTCTACTCCTTGAGACCAAATTAAATTCATAGATCTATCAAAGAGTTGAGCTATTGTTGTACTATTTGTTTTTTCTAAATGTTCACAATTAACAAGCATGACTTCACCAGGCATTTCAGAATCAAGTACGCCCACAATAACATTGGCTACATAGCGGCCATCTACATCCGTGGTCTCATCGATTGATACCCAAATTTTACGATTAAAGACCTCGGCCTGTATTTTAGTTAAAGTTTTTTTTATAAATATCATCTACATAATTTTTCCTTAAGGTCGATTCGTCGTGGATATTTTAAGAAGTATAATTCTCTAAAAACTCTTTGAATTTAAAATTATTTACCTTGTACAGTGGAATATTAGCTGATAGTAATGCTTCAGCAAGATCGGAATTAAAATCACTTTTCTTGTTTGTATTTTGTGTAAATAACGGTTGAACTGTACTTTGTTTGCGTCTTTTTCGGAGATTTACTGCATGCTCATGCTTTGCAGTTTTCAAGTGTTGTGTTACTAAAAATCGTTTACTTGCAGATACTTTAACTTCACACAATTTGCAAAATAATTTTTTACCATCGGAACTAAATACATGTTCCCAAATTCTTTCAAAAAACTACTTAAACTTGACGAATATTTCGGCATTTTGTGAATAATAATTTAAAAAAAAAAAACGTGTAACAGAAAAATTATATAGTTTAATAAACACAACAACACAACATATGAGGACTGCAGCAAACTGAAAATATTTAATGTCAACAAAATATAAACTCGTCGAAAATGTAGATAAACCCCACTCAAGCAGTCAATCTATACTGTTATACAATATACTTACCTATACCTAGGCTATAATATTAATCTATTAACGATATGCGATAAGATAATGGCGTCGACAGGCGATTACGAGATTCGTGTATACATAGTGATATAAAATAATTAATAAATATGTGAGTATGAGATAAATATGCCATTAAATCTATAAATGATCAATATATGTATTTATATGCTCAAAAATGTCAAATCTGCAAAAATATGCAAAAAAAGTTGCATATTTGTAATATAGACTTCATGAATCAAATTTATATCCCACTCCGGTGTAATTCTGGCTGCGCGAAAAAAATATGCCAAGTCATGAACATCCAAGCTCTAGTCATAAGTATACATAAACAAATAAAAATGATAAAAAAACCTTTATTATTTAAAAAATATTTTCAAAATTTTATGTAGATACATAAAATTACACATAATATATAAGATATTTTTTTATAGATACAGTGTACACATTTTAATATAATACCTGAATATTAAAATTAACTCTTAAAGTAATTCTTTTTTTACATAATTAGGTTTTTTTTTCAAAACTTCACATGTTTCCCCAATTCTGTCGATTAAAATATCTTTATACCTACTATATTTTTAATTTCTTAAATATTATCAGACCATTTAATCTATTATTGTAACGGGCCAATCCGCCCCTGCATTTTCCTCCGCCCTTTGTTTAGGTTTAGGACTAATTTCATGCCAAATTGTATTCCGGTGCCACAGACTGGGGGGCTTATAAATGTTGTTCGAGCTATTTAAAATCCTTAACAAATCATAATTTACAATTTTGTCGATTAAAATAATACAATTTCAATCATTGTTACAACAATCGAGTCATTGAAAATAATAAATATATTAAAACGTTACATATAGATGAAAACTGATGGGAAACCACGATTGCAATTAAACCTTATGGTCTCAGAGTATACGGACATTCTGCACACCCAAAAATGTAGTTACATTGATTAAGTAGTTAACATGATTTCCATTGTTCACGATTGTGTGCGCAAACGAATTGACGTAAAATTCAAAATATATATTTTTATGAGCGCAAACGAGTTGTCATCCGGGTTGGTTCGGTAACCCCGCGTTCATTTTTCACGTTGTTTTTCAGGCGACACGTTTCACATAAGCGACATTGTGATGGGAATCGCTGTCTTGGCGGCCGGCGGCAGCATACCGGAGGCCACGTCGGGCATAATAAACGCACGGAACGGTAAGCACACCTAGACAATACGGAACTCCTCCGGTCGTTAGACCCAACGTTTTCACACAGTTTTTTTTTTTTAATTTTTTACATCTCGCGTTGTCGGCACAGGTGAGGGATCGATGAGCATCAGCAACGCTTTGGGCGCAAACACTCTGGACATACTGTTGTGCTTGGGGCTGCCGTGGTTCATCAAAAGTCTAATGCCCGTAGCGATGAAAGGAGGTCCGGTCCAAATGGAGACCAACGACTTGTTTTTCAACTGCATATGTATGATCATCAGCGTAGTTATACTGAATATTGCGGCTGCTGCCAACGGGTTCAAAATGTATAAGACTTTTGGCATTATATGTTTGATCGGCCACGTGGTCATCATAACATTGTTCGTGTGCAAAGGTCTTAAGATTGTGAAAGCTCCTAGCATTGGACAATGTTAGTATACTGTGAACACAGTACATTGTACACAGAGACGTCAGAAATTCACACGTTAGATCATTATTGAATGGAATGGCATCAACTTTTAGTATTAAGCAAATGTATAGTAGTCATAACCATCAAATATTTTCATCTTATTAGATATGTACAATATCATTCAATGATGATTAACTAATGTAGATACTAAATTTGAACCGATTACATGTAGTAAATATTAGAATAATATTAAGAAAAAAATAACCACCTATTTACACATGTTGTGCCAATATTTAGTTTACCATTAAGTATCGTTGTTTGAATAATATGTTACATTAATATTGACGACATGAACGTTAATTACAATTTTTAGGTCCTATGGAACTCTTTTATATTATTTAACTAAGTGAAATTTTTGTAGATTGTTATTTTTTAATAAACATTAATCGTGAATTAATTTAAATACTTGAATTATTCAATAAGAATGTTCAATAGCTGTAAGACTGATGCATATAATATAGTTATTCAAAGTTGAAAACAAGCAACTAATAAAATACAAATTAGGAGAAAATATTACATTAAAGTATGTTGTACTAGATACAGACTATATTATTGTATCTATTTAGTTTTAGAAATTACAAAGAAATGTTTAAATGTTAGTTATTTTATTAAAATATATGTATTTTTAATATATAAAAATATTGATAATAAAATAACAAAAATGCAATAGTTTTAACAATTATCATTACGAATCGGTCATATCAAAATGAAGTGTCCTAGCTCGATCCCTGCAATGGGATAAGCCTTTGTTAATTTTTGCTGACATATCTTTAATATTAAACATGGTTTCTTGTTCAGAAGATATTGGTTGTCCTAAGGGATCTTTATTTGGTGGTCTTGTGTAATATAGTAATGTACCACTGAAAATAAACAAATAATTTTATTAATATTATTTATACTATTATGAATATTATTTAACCAAAAAGTTTAATCTTAATAATTTAATTATATCAATAATGAAACATTTACCAAAACAGAATTACATATAATTTATAATTCAGAATTCATGATTCTCCACAAGTTTTCTATCCTGATAATTGATATCCTACTTTAAAGGTTAATTTAAGGCAATACTACAGATTAGTTAAAATTAAATTCAAATTGTACATTAATATATTTTTTGGAGTCCAAGGGATCCCATAGGCCAAGGGTGTCGAACCTTTAAGATAAAATTTCATGGAATCTATACTTATTTTCAAAAGAGAACATACCACAATTGTCTGTCGTTCCAAGGCCAATTTCTCCCTCTCTCACGAAAATGAGGCATCAATCATGCACGACGGTTGCCAATTAAAATTGTCCCAACAAGTATACACTGTATTTAATTAAATTGTTTACAAATTATTTATGATACCTGATGGGCCTCAACGGTTGTACCAGCTGAATATGGGTTAAAATTAGCTGACGTTCATTAAGACCGGCAATATTTGATGTGGGGTACTCACCGCCGAACAAACACCAGTCGCAAAAACAGTATGTTCTCTTTTGAAACGGGGTATAGGAAATAAAATATATAATAGGATGAATACAACTTACTCTTTTAAATCTTTCATGAATGATTTAGCTGCATTAATTTGGTCTGGTTTTCCATGTTTATTAATTAAGCTATGCCTCTTAGCTTTCATTTCAAGGATATGTGTATAATCTTCAGTATTTTCCACATTCAAGTCATACAATAATTTTAGCTTTAGCAAAAAAAATAAATAAAAATAAATGAATAAAATTTATATACATTTAATATATATAGACATTTGTTATAAATTGATACAAACTGACAAAAATACAATTTTAATAATAATTTTCTTTATTACGGAATAAATTCCAATAACAATAATTATATTTACATACCTGATTTTTCTTTATATATGGTAAAATTAAAGCACATATTTTGGTTGGAACTATATTTTGAAGATCTACTTGTAATGCATGTCGTAGAAGTAAACGATTATCACTTGGCTTTTCCAATATAGTATTAGCTCCAGTACATTCCCAAGGCAATAATTCAATTTTTAAATTATTGAATGGAAAAACGCTGATTGACCTGAAATTATATCATAATAGTTAGACTTGAAGAGAAATTTCTTTTTACTTTTTACTTACTGATTTTTTTTTGATGGAACTGGTTCATCATCAATCGTGTATTTCCATTTAAATGTATCAACAACACAAGATTTTCCTACCTTGGGCATACCAACAACACCAACAGTAATGCCCAAAATTGGTGCTTCGATACAAGTCTGTAAATAGTTCAATACCACAGTTTCACCAAAGCATCTATTGGCTACTTTTTTTTTGATTCGTGATAAGAAATTAGGATCTTTAGCACTTGTTTTAGGTGTATTTCGCACTTCACGACTAGATCTAAATGGTACAGTTGGTGCTATTTTACTGAAATACTGTACCCAATCAGCTATTATTGTTTTGGGTACTAGATCAATTTTATTTAATAAAATAATATGTTTCTTATCTGGATTTGCTTTTAGACACTCAGCGATTTCTTTTGAACGTGTTGCTAATGGATCACGAATATCTAAAACTTCTAAAACAACATCACTTACAGAAATTATCTGAAACAAATATAAATTATCTGTCAATACAAATTCAAAAACAATTCATAAATGGGTGATGAAATAACTTAAGATTCCTAAATTCATTCAAGAAATATTCTCTATAAAAAATTAAATATTATAGGAGTAAATTAATAGTTTTTTAGTAGATATTGAGTTTAAGTTAATTCCTATATTTGTAGTATTAAGCTGAATATATTAAATTAATTACTTATTTATTTGCAATGTATTATAGTACAGTATATAACTAGACAGTCAAGGTAGTATATTTTTAAGTAATTATTGGAATAATAATTATAATTTACCAAAATATTAAAGGTCAGTTTGCTTTATCTAAAATGTATCAATTATTAGCAATATTAATAAATACAATAATAGTACGAGACAAGCATAAAAGAAAGTTTAATCCAATTATACAAATGTTTTCTTGCATTTGTATTACATATTAAACAATAGTGTTTAGTTTTTAGTATTAATATCTATAAATTAATTTTACATTTTTGTAAGTTTGTTCTGGAAATCTATCTGCTCTAGTTTCTTTTAAAAGCCATTTTTTCCTAAATGGCATTTCATTTCCTTTACTCTTTTTAGTTTCTTCTTCAGGTTCTGTTTCATTTGCTGCAAAATTTGCCAATCGTATCTCTCGTTCTTTTTTTTTTGCATCATTAAGTTGCTCAATTATTTCTTCTTTGAATGGACACATGTTTGGAGCAATAATCATACTATTTTTTGACTCTAAACATTTTAAAAAAGAAGTATTAAAAATAGAAATTAAATAAATTACATGATGACTAAACATAATTAATACTGTATGTCTGGGTAGTCCAATATGTGGCCTTCAAAGCCTTTTTTTTGGCCCTCCTCCATAGAAGATTCATATTAAAAAAAAATTACAATAATATTATAACAAAATTGTTATATGATTGTATACTTTTAACGTTTTTTTATTATAAAAAGTAGATATATGTACAATGAGTTATGTGCAAAACCCTGGTTGGATTTACCTCATTATGTACAAATGTAGATAATGTGTTTTTATAGAAGCCACAGCCAATTCAATTTCTTGTAGTATGAGATCATGGAAATCAATATTATTATAGTCATTAATTAACAGCAATTATTAACTACAGGTTTTAATGAATAATACAATTGTTTAGCGGCAGCGGCAGTTTTAGTAATTTTATGAAAATGTAAATTGACCTGCCAACTACAAAAGGTTGGACCACCCTGTTGTAAGTTATCAATCTTAAAATTAAATAATAGATTCTGTTAAAAAAGTCTAAAGGCAAGAATAATATATATATATATATATAAGTATTAAACAGGAAAAAATGTATCATAAAAACTACCATGGGTGAAAAATTATTTATGATTCTACAAAGTAGCATAAAAGAGAATCTTTAAACATTTATTAATAAGGAAATGTCTAAGATTCAAGTTAAAATAAATTACTAAGCATGTACTGTTGAATTAATTTATGAATCATACATAAGAATTTTATGTTACAATGATTGTAACTATTATTGTAATTATTACAGTAAACAGTCTATGAAGGTGTATTATACAACTAGTTCGGTCCATCTAGTTGGGTAACAGTATATTAGGGATGGCAAATCCATGGCACGCGAAAAGATTTTGTGGGCACTCAAAAATTTTTACCGTTATATATTATATAATATATTGTTGCATGGCGTCGTCCAATCGTAAAGATGTTGAAGATTTAGGAAAATATTCCAAATAAAAATACTCAATATAATTAAACTGTTTATTTGAAATTTTTCTAAGTACAAATAATAATTTAAAAGATGATCTGGCGTGGAGGTGCTCGCTACTACTCGTATAAACCACATCTAAATATTAGTCTATTCCTAACCCCCTTATATACTTAGGTCTCATGGGAATCAATTATGCCGCGCTGTGCGAAAGTTTTTTTCAATTATTATAAATATAAGATTTATTACTTTAGTGACCTTGTTAATATTACTATTCACACATCTCTCATATGCGTTTTTATTAAATGCAGTAATTAAAAGATGTAGCCATGTTCGATGATACCTTCGGGTTTTAATTATTCCTTTCTACATTGTTCATCGATTTCAATTATTTATTGAAAATTGTAAGGACCTACTTTTATGTATGTCCAAATCATCGTATTACCCTCTAATTAAATTAATAGTTCCTTTCTATTATTGCAAATACTTTATTATTCAATATCATTTCTCGATCTTACTAATTACGATTTATGTGGTCCCACCCATGTTGTAAGAGTCGTAAGGACCTACATCTATGTATGTTCGTAACAATATAATATTATAGGACCTATAATATAATATAAATAATTAACAAAGCAATATTATTATTATTATTATTATGTACCTAAACTAACCTTTTTATCTCATACATTATTTATACAATCCAATTATAATATAACAAAATATAATATTTTTAATATTTTTTTCATGATAAGCTCTATAAAAAAAAAAATAAAGGTAATTTTGGGCACGCAGTGTAAAAACGGTTTGCCATCCCTGCAGTATACCAAACAAACGTAGCCGTATTACATTACTGCAGGACGGTATGTAGATCATTATTAAATGGGCACTTACTCTTTTTCGGATTTTTCTTCGCATCTCTTCTAAGTTTCCGATTGTGTTCTCTGACTTTCTTGGCCACCTTGTACTTGGTCCTGCATTTCAAACGTTTGGACTGTTTCCTTGCAAACACAGAAATCTTTAGTACACCAAGTAATTTGAAAGCGAACAAAAATCTCGGACGGTCGGTTACTTTTTTTCGGTAAAGCCATTGCGTCGTTGGGTGGCGAACAGTGACGACGGGATACAAGAGCAGGGAACGGCTAGACACGCGAACAGAACGAATTGAACAGGCACAGGTTGACGTGAGCAATGGACTACGTTACGTTCACGAGCCGCGCAACTTTTGAACGGGGCTAACCTCAAATAAACGGAATAAAAAATTAAAAAATTGACCACAGCCTATGCACGACGGCTGGACGAAAATCCCTTATCGCCATCTACACGACCGAACCGCAAGCCAACGTTGGACAGCTGTTACCGAAAACATAAACAAAAGGACCGCGCGGTGATTGGACAACGGTAGGTCATATGATCGCGCCTTCCACTTCCCGTTCGCCAATGCACGAGGTATTATTTACAGCCGCGTACGTCTGGTACACACACCAGCGCATCCCGCGCGTATACGCTACTATGACTGTTTAAAATATACTATGTACACGCACACGTATGCGTGTATTCGCGCGTATACAGGACGAGCCCACTATCACACTATCACGGTGTAATATACCTATGTTTCGTCCATGTTATAATATCCGTGTGTGCGTGCGTGTGCGCGTGTATTGTAAGATATATATGTGCGTATGTATATGTTACGTATATAATATACATTGAATAAGAACGCCGCGCGCTCTTGTGCGTCCGTGTGTGTATGTGTGTGCAGTGTATTTACGTTGCATTTTTTCGTTTTTTTTTTCTCCCCGTCATTATAATACGCTGGCATTGGCGCAGAGGATAATATTCAAAATCATTTTTCGTTCTTTTTCGTTTTACACGAGAACTCGTGCACATACTGCTACGTCGGCCATATTGTTGCCATTTTACCCGTTTCCGGATCATATTGTTTCAGGTACGAACATTAATCCGTTTTCTCGCGCCCGTCCCTAGCTGTTGACGGCACAAGATATTCTCCGGTCGGGGCCCCCTCATACGATATTTTGACCAAGATGTTAAAATATTCGTGATGTGTTAATCTGCGGCGGTCGGACGGATTTCGTCCCTACTGTCAGCCGCCGTCGTTCGCTCGCGCCTTCGAAGGTCTCATCACGCAAACTTTTGACGTTCGGAGGTCGACGATATCGACATCATAATCCTCACTTTTCGCACGTCGTCGAATTCGGTTCCCGGAAAGACGGCGAAGATGACCATGGTCGATTGTGATGGTGTCGACGATCCCGTCGACCGCGCGCGTTTGTTAGGTTATGTTTGCTTTGTTGTCACTCGATATATTTTCATATTTGTGTGCGAGCCAATGGAGTGTGTGTGTGTGTATGTGTTATTATTCCGCTGCGCTTCTCTGCTGTATATTATCGGTCGCTGCTGTTTACATCTGTATTTATACGTGTTTCTGAACGTCCAGCACGATTTTTTCATCTCGGCTAGTCATCTCCGCCGCTGAAAGTTTGTTTTCCGTCTGCTGTCATCGTTGCTGTTTCGCTGTCGCAGCTACACCGCATTACAAAAAGGTTAGACCGTGGGGACTAAGCTTTGATTTTCTCGCCGTACTCGCATCAATTTTTATTTTATTTTTTTGAATTTTTCGGACTGGTTCCTTTCTGTCCCTCACGTTCATCACGTCATCGACCGTTGGTCCGTCCACGCTGTCGCACGTAGTGGAGTAGACAAGCTACGAGTCAAAAAAAAAAAAAAAAAAACTGGTCGTTTTTTTCCTGTTCTTTTTATCGCTATCATTATCTTCGTATTATTTACACTCATTATACATTCATATTAACGATCGCATTGTATGGTTACGCGCTGCGCTCGCGCCCTTGTATGTAAGCTTTTCTTATTGACCTGTGAAAACGATATCAACAGGTTCAGTATGTGTGTTTCACAAACTTATAATTAATATTCGAATCCCTTTTTTTTGTTCCAGTGCATTCATACTAACTTTTTTTTAAAAAAAAAGTTGAAATCATGACGGACTCCATAAAGTTTGGTCCAGAGTGGTAAGCACGCATTGGCTGTAAACATATATTTACCTTTACCTATTTTTGTTTTTACATTTTCTTAATTGACACTGTGGTCAGTTAGATGTTCTTTTTTCTCCTATTCTTTCAATATACGATTGTCATAAAGTGATTCAATGTTTCATTGATAGCATAGAGCCATTTTAACTTACTAGGCTGGAATTCTTATTTGTGCTTTAATTTTCAATAAAATGTAATTACTTTTTCCAACAATCATTTATAGTCTATTACTATTCTTTACCTATATTACTCTTTAAACTATTCTTATCATATAGACGTCATCATTCCAAAACTATATCACTGAAAATCTATTCAAGATAAAAAGCCAGTAGTTCAACTGTTATAACAAATATTTTTGTGCAAATAAGAATTCTTAGGACATTTTGTTATTTAATTATAGGAAATAAAAATCGACTTGTCAATATTTTAACATATTCAGCATTGTTAATAAAATGATCTAGTATCTATTTTTATTTATTTAAATTAATCTATTTAAATAAATATATATATATTTATTATCAAGCTTAATTTAATTTTTAAAACCTAAACATCAATTATTCTTTAGATTAAGTTTTTTTTATGTTTTTTTTTTTTTTATTATGTTTAGATTGTTACTTCATTAATTAAATATATTTATAAGATTAATACAATTAGGATAAATAATATTATACATTTTTTTTTGTGTTCTTGCAAATTTGTGCTAATAACGAATTTGTGCATTAAAGATAGTTCCAAAGTGGAGAAGCACTTGTCATGGAAAAAATTATAGGGAATCGAATATGTTAAGATATCATTAAAATATATATTGAAGAAATATTTACTAAGATGGAATAACTACTTATAAAAAAAATATGGCTGGTTCATTTTTAGGATGTACATCACCAATGTGTAGTTTGAAAATTATATACGTGTAAAGAAGAATCAGATTTAAATTAATATAGTGATAGATTATTAACAAAACTCAATTTAATTTATCTTTACTTCCAATTGAAACTTAACCATTAAAGTGATTTTTGTTTCAAATTTAAAATACATATTTTTAAGGATTTAAGTTAAAATTAAGAAGAACCTCATACTCTCCAAAAATATTTTGGATTACATAATTATTATATTTATATTGTGTATTGACACTTAAAATATGGGTACATATTATATTTAAAAATAATGTAGGAAATAAAAAATAGTTTTTCACTTATACCTTTTATTAAGTATAGTAGGTTTTAATGTCTTATTATTTTAATTTCTGTTCATAATATCTGAATGTTATACTTACAAGTTTTAAGTTGACTAAATATTAAAGTTACTCAATACTCTACCTTCATTGTAATATTTGTTAAATTAATAAATATTTAGGTTATTGTAATTAGTTTGATAAATTAATTTACATCAAATGCACCAACCATAGAAATTTACTTTCAAATTACCTTTTGTTAAAAATGTAATGTTAATAGAATTTAATATATTTTTATCATCAGGGAGTCAATAGTATATTTTAATATTTAATACAAAGCACTTAATTTATATATACTTGAACATTTTTAATTAAATAAAACAATTATTTGAAAATAAAATAAAAAAATGTCATACACTTATTGATTTATTTAAACGATTAAGTAATAAATGTATTTTCTATTGAATCTATTATATAGTTATAAATTATTTGTTATTTAGATTCTGTATATGTGTATATAAATTTTAAAATTAATGTAAAATGTATGTCTTATTTATTTTATATTAGGTTAAGGAACATGTCTCAAGGTATATCTAAGCCACAGCTTGCTGAACATCGTTATGGTCGAGAAGAGATGTTAGCCTTATTTGATATCTCATCATGTAATCTTCCTCCAGAATCTCTGAAAGAATTGTCTATGGTGTTCAGTGAAAAGCCTCAAACTCCATTGTCTTTACAACAAATGTCTGAAGAAGAAACTGTATGTTTTATATATTCAATATATAAATAGCCTTATTATTAATTAAATATTAAATTATCTTATTGTTTCAGAGACTTTGGAATCGAGGTATAAACAGTGACACTATAGTCAGAGCATCTGTACGAACAACTACTGGTAGAGGTACTGCTAATATCGAAGTTCGTGCTAGTAGTACTAGTGCAAGAGGAAGAGGTGGTCGTGGTGGTTATTATTATAATACTACACGACCTGGTTATGAGGAAGGACCAGAAGGTGGAGGCTCACCAATGAACCGAGGTCCTCATAGACCATTTGAGAGACTTAATTCGGTAAAATATTTAATTACTAATAAAGATATATTCTTTGTTCATTTTTATACTTTCTCCTGAAAGATAGTCCTCTAAAATAAAACATTTAGTATTGTGTATACATGTTCTGAAACCACTTCTTGGTCTAATTTTTGAATAAGAGATTTAACAAAGAAATAAAAATGAATCAATCATGGGATTGTCAGAACTCAGTTTGCTTGATAAAAATTGTTTCTCTTGTGAAGGAGTATAATTAAATGAACTTTGTTAATAGTTATGTATTTTAGATATTTTAGATATTATTAGTATACTTGTACTTTGAATTTTTAGAATGAAAGAAATATGAATCGAAATGGAGAATATACAAATGATTGGAGAGGAAGAGATGAATCCAATTGGTGGAGAAAAAATAGAGGTGGTGCACATCAAGGTCAATCTGAAGATTCTAATGGTCGCTGGGGACGAACTCGTTCTGATTCTTATAACAATGATAGATGGCCTGCTGGACGACCGACATTAAAATATGATGAAGATGAAGGATGGGATCGTGGTGAATCAAGGTGGTCTAATAATTCTAGTGGTCATGAACGAAGAAAACTTGATTGGGGAGAAAATTTGCCTGAATGGTATTTTATTTTGACTTGGTAATAAAGCTTCATATTTGTCAATTTTATTATTTTAGGGCTGTTGAAAATCCTGCTGAAAAAGGTGGAAGTTTTGATTCATCTGGCGCTTTTCACGATAATCATTATGAAGAAGAACACCGCTATAATATGGGAAATGAACAGTCACGAGAAGTATGATAATTTAATTAATATGTGTAAATAGAAAATTTGCTATTTTAATTTAATTTTAATTTAAGAAGGAGCAAGATTATGAAGAAGAGCACGAAAATGATACTAGTATTAATAATATAGAAAGCTCAAACATATCACCTGTTGAAGAAAAACAGCAACATAATGGACAAGAAAAAGATGGTAAGAAATATATACATATATATGACATGCTACATATTTTAAAACATCAATTAAACCTGTTAGAATAAAGATATTGGTTTTAAGTCTATTCTTGTAGTTTAATTATTCATTTGTATAATTTTAAAAGCAACACCATGTTAGTACAACAGTTTTAAATAAAGTATAGTAATATGTATAATGTAATCTTATCTAAAATAATTGTAGCTTTCTTGTATTACCCAACAAACTATTGTGCATGTGTGTTAGTGTTAAAATTATAAGCATAGGCTTAAAATTCAAAGCTAATTTTTTTCATTAAATAGTTTTTATATATTCAATTTATAAATAAATAAATTATAACAGATTACTACTTAAGAAAAAGAACACTTCTTGGTGGTATTTTGTTTAACTATGTTTAAATTTGTCATAATAACTGACTGATAAAATGTTTCTAATTTATTGAAAATCAGTTGAACCAAATTTTTTACTGTAATTTATGGATAAAAATATAATCTATATTACTCGATACAAATGTTTTCAAGTAAATATACAAATTACATTTTATAGTTAATAAAAAAATTATTCGTCATAGCTTATCAATTTTATATAATTTAAATTTGATTTTGTATAATAATTAAGCATTGAATGAAATCACTTTTTAATTAATCATAACATTACATAGTGTTTAACCATCTTATCAATCTTTTATTTGTAATACTTTAGAAGTTGTATCATCTTCAATATCTACTTCACCATCTCAAAATGAAGAATTAATTACTTCACCTGAACATTTTAAAACTATGAGGCAACAGCACCAACATAAAATAAACACCCAAAATACTAAAGAAGCATTTATTCAAAATGAAAAAGTTATGATAAATCATCCTGAACCAGTTAGAATTCAACAAGCTCCAGATATTCCAGTTATACACAGCAAAAGTAGTCCAGCAATTTCACTTATGTCTGATTGCCAACCAAATAAAATAGAAAATATTCAAAACTTAAGAGAGATACCTGGTGTAGAAAGTCATATTGACAATTCTAATATTAATCCCATTCATCGATCTACAAGTTAGTACCATATTATTCAAATAAATGATGAAAGATTTTATTAGCTCTATAGATTGTATAACCTATTAATTAATTTTTTTATTATTATTATGATTATTATTACTATTAGTCGTTTTGCACTAATTTCTATAGTTATAATGTTTAATTAATGCAAGGAATTATTTTTTCATTCTATTATATATGTTACGGGCAAAGTAAGAATTCGGGCATTGTCCCAGGCATTGTATACAGTGCCCAATTATATGTGGACACTGTAGGTTAAATATTAAATATATTATAAATCAAATAAAATACCTTAATGAGTACTTAAATAATCATAAAATAAATAAATTAAATAGACCCTACAAATATTAGTTGCCTTTTAGTAGTTTTTAAATCTATTATCCAGTATGGTAGCTAAAGAAATTATTACTAAAGAATTAATATTTTTATCTAAAAGTGGTTTGACATGAATAAGATGAATATATTTATTAAATTATAGTTATTTTAATTACTTATTATTATAATTTTAATATTTTACCTTTATTTATCATCACATGTGGAACTTTTATGGCACTTTTCAGGAATTTCAAAGGATACCAGATTTTTTACATAATGCATTGCAATTACATCTATTGTACCCTTGGCTACCCAAATTAGAACCTTTTTTCGCAAAGAAATGTTTACAGGTAGTACCTCATTGATTTGAATAAACACCTCTCTGCATATTATGTCTGCCATCTTAGGTTATAATTTCATATAAATTATCTTTAGCTGTAAAAAAATTATTAATATAAAAATTATTTTATAATTTTAACATTAATTATCAGAAAGTATTACTCCTATAAATCTTTGGTGTAATCACATATTGCCCAATCCACATCAGGAAATTTTATTTTAACTTTTTTTCAGGAAAAAATGATCTTCAAACAAATCATTTGTTTTCTTAGCCTTGGAGTTTAAAATTATCAGCAGCTTTTATTCAATTTAAAGATATTGATTCTATTCTCAATTTTATTTGATTGTTTTAATTGTTTGTAGTCTTCATCAGAAAAATTTTTTTTGTACGGTCTATTATTTCCATCATTTTTTTCATCTTTCTCATTTATGTTTATGATGAAAGCTCTGCAACCCAGAGAATCTATGACCTCTTCTGATTATTAAGTAGAAATTAATAAATCTGTTGGAATTATGGTTGATTTCAAGCCAACTTTATTAGGTATTCTGAAAATAGCTTCATGCAGTGAATGTTAAAATCATGGTAAAAACTGATTCTCCATAAATTGAACGAGTCTAAGAATTATAAACTTCATAAAGTAATCTTGATCTATAATTATAAGCTTAAAATAACCATCAGGCTTTCATATATATTAAATAAAATTGTCAGCAAGAGTTTAATTCTGATGAAAGTATAGGTTTTACAACTAAAACTTTTTGACACTGGTCACATAAATTTAAAAATATCATTATAGTCTTCTTTATTATATTTTTTATATTTCAAAATCAATTCATACTCCATACGGTTTCTACCTTCATGTCCCACAGATACACGTGTTTCATTAAGAAGTTGAAATAATTGTTAACATAATATTTAATCAAATTACCTTCAGGTACTTTTATTTTCCATTTTGCATTAGAATATAGTTAAAAACATTGATCAAAAAATAAAACCGGAATGCATTAATAACTACGTGGTGAAAACATCGAGTAGGAGTTTTATTATTAGATAATGAAATATTATCTAGATTATAGTGTTATGCAAATGTGCAATATAGTATGTAGACTACAATTGTATGTGTTATGTATATGTAGTATATTGAATATACTATTTGATCACTTTATTGTTGAGATTACAGATCAAATATGTTATCGGCAGCTATTGTCGCATACATTGTGTGCTATTAGATTTTAATTTGTAAGTTGTGTTGTAAACGAATAAAATATGTAAGAATAGTTTTGTACTGTTATTGTTATGTATAAATACTATTCAATATAAAAGTGCCTAGCACACTGCAGTATTAAATTCGCTTAGCACACTTGAATCTGGGCAAGGTATACTTTTCATAGGCAAATGCTTGGTCAAAGTATGAAAAATTTAAATCTTAAAATTATCATTTTTAAATTGCCCAAAATATTCGAGCTTAGTGCACAGTGCCCAGTTTCCTACTTCGCCCCTAAATATATATTGTTAAATTAGTTATTTGTATTAAAAATGATTTTACAAAATTATAATAGGTTTAAATGCCAATGCTAATCATCGAATCGATACAATGGATGCTGAGGCAGAATCCATGGTATCTAGATTAACCAGTGATAATTTTAAAATTGGACCATCGTCGCATCCTCCACTTGCACCTCTTACTAATAATAAATGGTATTATAGAGATCCACAAGGCGAAGTTCAAGGTAAATAATATTTGACAAGATTTTTGATTGTTCTTAAAAACAACTTGAATTTCTTAGGTCCTTTCTTGACTACTGAAATGGCAGAATGGTATAGTCTGGGCTATTTTCATGATAACATGTTGATGGTGAAAAGAGCTGGCGATGAACACTTTTATTCCTTAGGTGATCTTGTGCGATTAAAAGGAAATGTACCATTTTCTGACACTCCGTTTTCGGTATATTTTTTTAATTATATTTTTTAAATATTTATAATTACTTATATTACAATATTTTTAGGAACAAGATGTTAAAATTAGTGCTCGTATAGGAATACAGCCACCTCCTCCTCCTCCTCCACATAACCCTTTCACTATGAATGAATCATTAGTTCTGCAACAGCATCAACAACACTATCAATATAGACAATTATTTATAAAGTAAGTTCTTAACCATATAAGAATACATTTTGATTTCTGTAAAAAGAAATCAATAAATTAAATCTTTAAAGCACATGGTATTGTAAAAATGGCTTAGACACTCATAAAAAATTATTATTATTTTTTTTTTTTTCAGGCAAAGAGAAATAGCTATACAAAGTGCAGTTCATCAACTATCACAATCTGAAAGGTGGAGTACTCTGTCACCTATTGAACAACAACAGGTAATTAATAGTATAGTTATGTATAAACAATGTGTATACATAAATTTTTTTCTCATTTTTTAACTTATGAATTTTTAAATCTAGTTGATAATGCATCATATTCGGAATGTTGAAGCAAATACAACAATTCCTCCAATGTATACAACTCCCATTCTTCCTCAACCACAGCCTCAACCAAACTTACACCCTATGAATCCTTCAAATAATAATTTAATGGTTATGTTATCTCATATGCAACAGCAGCAGCAGCAGCAACAGCAACAACAACAACAACAACAACATTTTAATCATGTAGGAAACTAATTTTTTATATGTAATTATTAAATTAATAATAATTTGAATTTTAGCAAATTGATCCAAAACATAATATTCATGCTGTGCCACCTTCTCAGCCAATGGCCCAACAACTGGATCCATTACATTCTTTAGTACAAAGTATGGGGGGTTTAAAAACATCTACATCACCACCAGCAAATGTTCCTCATCACCATCAAAGTTCCAATGTTATTCGACCAAATAGTGTTCAGCCAGAAAACAATCCTATATCAGATTTATTAAGGCAATTAGGAGCACCTCAAGATAAACCTCTTAAAGTAATATTTTAACTAAACTACTTTTTTTTAATATTATTATTTATGTTATATTAATTATCAGGTAGAAAACAGTGTATGGGGTATGGATTTCCCAGGTCCAGACAAACCTAAAATCAATGGTCTTATTGGAATGAGTGGCTGGCAAACTGGTCCCCCAGTTGATCCTACTCAACAAATACCAGGTGTTTTATGGGGTTCAGCAGAGTATACTAAAATTATTGGAGCTGACCATAAAGCAATTGTAAGAAATTGATAACTGCTTAATTGAAAACTAATTACTTCAATATATTTATGTCATTAAATTAGTTTATTTCTGCATTTAATTTTATGTTAAATGTTTTGTGCAGGAAGAAACAATTAAAGAAGAAGCAAGACGAAGTCAAGAAGCTAGAAAACAAGAAATGTAATTATTTTTAATTTTTATTTAATAATACATATATATTTTATAAATAAAATTTCTAATCTTTTTTATAGAAAACAAAATGAACAGTTAAGAAAAAGAGAGGCTGAGAAAGCCAGGATGCAAAAAGAGTTAAAAAAAAAGCAAGAATTGGAAAAAGCTAATAAATTAGAAGAAGAAAAAAAGAAGGTTTGCAGCATATTTTTATAATTTGAAAATTATAAATGTTCTACATGTTTGAAATTTATGAATGTAAATTATAATTTCAGGAGGAAGCTCTTAGGTTAAAAGAGCACGAAAAAAAGCTAAAAGAAGATGCAGAAAAAAAAAGAATTGAAAAGAAGAAGTTAGAAGAAGAACAAGCAAAAAAACGTGAGCATGATAAAAAAGTTAAAGAGGAGAAAGAAAAAAGACTGTTAGAAGAAAAACGACTACAAGAAGAAGAAAAGAAAAGGTTTATTTTATTTTATTTTATTTTAGAAATAAATATATATCTGTATTAATATGAAATTTATGTTTATTACATATACATGTATATGACATGTATACATCTATGCATTATAATAACTTGTAATTATTCTTATTGATTATGTTTAAAAAAAAAAAAATTGATTAGTAATGTATTTTCAGAAAAGCTGATTTGAAAAAAAAAGAAGAGCTAAAGAAAAAGGAGGAACAAAAAAAGAAAGAAGAATTAAAACGAAAAGAAGATGCTAAAAAAAATGATCAGAAAAAAAAAGATGATGATCAAAAGAAAAAACAAGATAACTCCAAGTCAAGTGCTGTTCCCATAGTCACTGAGCCACAAAAGGTATAGTGATTTGATATAATTTGGGGATGGAATGGCTGAGGAATTTCAGATAACAGTGCTAACATACACTGTTGCTGGTTCAAACCTTACTAGAGAGAAATATCATTAATCCCCTTATATAGAAGGCTATACAACAGTCTAAAGTGTCAATGTGCCACGTTATCTATACAGGAGTGCTATAGAATTTTTATAGGTCTAATAGTAAATTTATGGTTGTAGGGTGACCTGTACCAGGTTTAACTGTTGTTTTTCAACATCTGATATGCGTAGAATTTTTATGAAAATAATATAATTATTATCCTTGGTATTTAATTAGTTATATTGTTGTGTATTATATAGAAAAAGAAAAAAGAACCTCTAACAGTGGCACATAATGGTGTTGAAGGTGCATCAGCACCTTGGGCAGCAGCAGATCAAAAAAAACAAATGCAAGTTAAGTCAATGGCTGAGATTCAAGCAGAAGAACAAAAACGTGAACAGTTAATTAAACAAAAAGAACGTGAACGCACCGAAAGAGAGATATCCATGGTAGCAATTGAACAGGCAAAACAAGAAAAAGCAAGATCAGCTGTCAGAATGCAATCATGGTCAACTGTTATTGCTAAAAATGTTCCTCAGTCTACTCTTGTTGCTACTAATTCAGTTTGGGGATCAACCAATCAAATCAGTATGTGAATTTCATTTTAATTAAACACTTAATACTCATAAAACAAATACTACATTCTAGATAAATACTTTGCTTATTACTTTTGCTTAAATACGTATACACATCTTTTTTTTCGAGAAATTTATTAAAAGTGTTGTTTATATTCCTTCATAAATAAATATTTTAAAATTATATACAGACTTATACAATACTCAGATATTGCATTAGAATATTAAAATAAACATTAAAATGCACTTAAATATTATTTATATATTATTGCAGTGGTGGCCAAACTACGGCCCGTCATCATTTAATATCTGGCCCGCGAAATTCTTCTATATTACAGCACTTATTTGTATAACTGTAATATTTTGCATTTACGTAAAACAAAATTTAGAATTCATTTTTTTATGGGCCGCGATAAAAAAAAGTTGTTTTTTATGGCCCGAGGAAAAAAAAGTTTGGCCACCACTGTATTATTGAATTACAATTCTCAAATATTATGCTCTTAAGCTCGTTTCACATTATACGGTTTTGACCGTACGGCAAAAATCCGGACGGCGATAATATTTTAGTGGCGCAAAGAACAGCATATACGCTTTCATATTATACGTTCTCGGCAAAATACCGTCGCCGTGCCGTGTAACAACCGTCTACTGCTGCCACTACAGTGTACGGCAGCCGGACGGCGCGATAAGCTTAGTGACCAAATGATCCGGTTTTTGCCGTACAGTCAAGACTGTATGGTGTGAAACGAGCCTTATTATTAACTGTTTACATTTTTTTACCCATTTTTTTTTTTTTTTTTACATTACTGTTCAAATAAAAAAGGGTTTCTTTAACCTTAAAGGTTTCAATATTTCTCTCATATTGCAGGTAATGATAAACAACAGCCTCAGAAATCTAATAAAACACCGGCTGTTGTAGTCGGTAACAAAAATGTAAAAAATGTGGCAAAAACTGTCAATCAAACATTACAGCAAACTAATGCTATGAAGAAAGTTATTGAAAGTAGAGGTGAAAACAATAATTGCAATGATGAATTTAGCCAATGGTGTTGTAAACATTTAGCAACTCTTAATAAAAATACCATTGACAGTGAGTTTTAAACTACTAATTTTTAAGTTTAAAAACTTATAAACTGATAATAAATTATTTTTTTTAGTACCTACTTTTGTGACATTTTTGAAAGATGTAGAATCTGAGTTTGAAGTAAAGGATTACATTCAGAATTACCTGGGTGATAATAAAGAAGTGCGAGAGTTCATCAAACAATTCTTTGACAAACGTCTGAAAATACAAAATAAACAGAGGAGTTCTGATTTTGTTGAAATGAAAGTAAGCTTAAATTAATTTGCAAGTTATAATATTTTATGTTTAATATATATTTGTTAATTTTCTAATTTGGAATATTACAATAAAATATTTTAAATAAACTAGTATTGCTTATAAAATCCAAAATCTTAAAGTAAATGATTGTTAAGCTTATATTTTCTTTTTTTATCACAGTAGTCTAATGTATATAAAACATTCCATTTAAATGTTGTATCAACTATATGGCATTGTTTAGTAGAAGTTGCAAAAGGCCTTAATGGCCCATAAAGCAAAAAAAAAAAAGTATGGCATTGTCATTAATTTCTTCTATATATTTCTTTGTGTACTAGTATTAAAATTGGGAAATTCATAAATATTAATTTCTCCACATTCATATTTGTCATTTTCAACTAAGTCTCATTTACATGTGTTCTTTTTTGTATGGTTGCTTGATTTTTTTTTTTTTTTTTTTTATGCGATTTATAGTTCATCATTAATTCCATGAGAACGTTTTGCCTTTATTTTTTAACTCTTCCTTTGACTTTAGTGATTACGTTCTCTCTTTTTTTCTTCTTTCTACTAGTTTTTATAAAACATTTCCTTGACTGTATTTTGGCGATTTTATTTTGTATATAGAATGTCTAATGCCCTTTTTCATTTTTTTGCCCTCTGAGGAAGACCTATTTCATTAATAACATTTAAGTATTTTATTTTCATAGGTTTAAGACAATCTGTGATTATTCTGTGTTTCATTAGTACTGGTGTCTATTTTGTGTGCATAGAGTTCTTTCATGCAGAACACACATATTTTGTTGCCAGGAGACAGTGCCAGGTAGATATACACAGTATATTAGGGTCTGCTCTCCATTTAAATCCTACCAGTTTCTTTATAATTCCATTTCTCATACTACCCTTTTTTTTATGTATTTTCATAATATTTCCTATAAGAGTTTTATCCAAGATTACACACTGATATTTCGATTTGTTCAGATTGTTTCTTTATCATTTGATGTTTATCCTTCTGTTTGTTTATTTATTTCATTGATGGAATGTGCATATTTAGGTCTTATGGTGATTTTACTCTAAGTGATTTATTTTACAATATTTTTTTTAGCTTTTTAAGCATATTTTCTATTTTATTCTCAATAGTTTAAAAATGTTCTTGTGCCATTACCACTAGATTTTCCACATAGATAGAGTGTTCTGTTTGTTTCAAATGGGTTGATTATTTATTTATATATATATATATATATATATATATATTAAAGAAGTTTGGAGCTATTACACTCCCCTGAGGCAGGGTATTTTTTATTTCTTTATAATCCTCTATCTACTGTTCTTTCTTAAATACTGATGTAGAATCTGTGTGGTCTTTTAGTATCTACCTATCCATGATCTTTTGTTATGTTATGAAGGAGGTTAAGATTATTTGCGTTTGCCCAGCATTCTACCTTTTCTCCGTCTGTATTGATATCTGCTTATCCCCATCTTATATTTCTACAATTGAAATCTCCAATTACTACAATAATATTTTATCATCTAAAATGTCTAGGCTTTTCAAATATAAATGGTATGTTTGGGGAAAGTTCATATTCTTTTAAGTCTCACCATAAGATTTTCTAGTTATACGCTGATTATTTTAAAGTCTTTTCTTTTGTAACTACTGTTGACTTAATAAATATCTATGGTCTTAAGGAAACTGCACTTGCTTATTATTTGGCCTATCTGACACTAATCACATCCCTTCAACCTTTGATTTTTCATGAGTTGGTCTTTGTGCGTTTATTAAACACACAGGTTATCACATTTATTTTCTTTGCGTATCTTGGTTAAAATTATTTATTTTTATCTTGTTAGTCTCTCGATATTTGATGAGATCGTTATCAAAGACATTACTTTTCTTATTCGGATTATTCATTAAGCATAAGTAAATTGCTAAGTTGCAAAAAAGTCCATAAGATTGTTTAAGGTTCAAAGATTTTTAAAAATAAAAAAATATCACTATATAATTTAAATGTTTTAAGGACAGTAAGTACTAAGTTACTGTACTTAAAACATTTAAATTATAATTTACAATATATTTGTAGATAAATCAAGTATAAGATAGTTTAAGGTCAAAATTAAGCTGAACTAGTTAATTTATTATATATGTCTAATAAACAAATAAAAATACATTTTAGTTTGTAAAAACTGCCTGTGACCATTTTTTAAAATTAGACAAAATATATTGATTTTAATTTATTACTGAATACTTGAAATATTATTTGATATTGTAACAAGAATAAAATGGATTTGAAACCCATTTTCTTATTATTCCTCTATTTCCAATGGAAATCTAAAACTGAAATAAAACATTTTACTTAAAATCCCTATACGTGTTTGTTATAAACAAATAATGTACAGTGTTGGATATGTTACTTTTTTTGTTTAATTATGCGTAATAATTTATTTTTACATTCTGTCTGTCTATTTTTTTCATGTATCCTGTATACAAGTTATGTTCTTAGGTATACAAATCATATTTTAATTAAATAATAAAAATATTTTCCTTTGTATATTAATCAGTTTATGTTTGTACAACTGAATTCAGACATGTTGGTGAGTAAATATTAGTGGTAAAATGAAACAATTCTTTTAAATTTTATTATATTACATACAGAAATTTAATGTCAAATATATTTTTTAAATTTATTGAATTTATTCTCATAAATGTATGTTTATTATATAAAAATGTGTCTTGTGAATAAATTAAGTATTTTTATTCTTTTTTAGTAGGAAAATCAATGCAATGCACACATTTATTTATATAAAAGCTCTTTAATGAGTTCAGATAATGTTTAAATAATTTAGTCGTACATAGTTTAGTAATTTGTTTATTTTTATCAACAATTATTGATCTATTAAAACTAACTTATAGAAATTAACTAAATGGAATTTTATTTTATTTTTCAGAGTAAAAACAAAAAACGAAATAAAATGGTACCATTAGATAATAAAGTTCTTGGTTTCAATGTCGTTGGCTCTGAACGTATCAATGTTGGTGAACTTGATCTTGGCGAATAAGAGTGAACTCTTAAACAATAGCAAATCAGAATGTCATTTTATGTCATCTGTGTTTTTTGGAACGATTTAGGCCTTGAAAGTTTAAAGAAACAATCTTTATTTGAGTATTACATATATCCATGTTTCTTGTTGAATTTTTTTTTTTTTTGATAAATATATATATTTAAATTAATTAATTTCTTTTTATTATTATTTTTTAAATGTAAATAATAAAAAATTAATAATATTATTATTGTTAATTTTTTAGAGTTATGTTGTCTTAATTATTGTTGTACAGATGCCTTGCGTACAAAGTTAACATGGATTTTTTTGTGTTGACTGTACAAATTTATTTTCCAAGTCCCATTCTAAAATCCGTTATTTAAATTATTATTGTAAATAACCGTATGATTTAATAATTATAATTGAAAATTAGAATAATATATAAATATATATTATAATTTTTTAATAAAATAATACTGGATATTTTATTTTTGAACATTAAAACATACATTTGCAGGATGTATCTTCAATTAGGTTATGAATTCTCTATTTAGAGTAAGTAAAAACAGTGGTTAAAGTGGGGAGGCTCTAAATGATATTAGTATTTATCACATATAAGTACAAAATATATTATATGAAATTTATAATACACTGAAAACTGAAAACTCTGCAATACGGAATTTTTCTATGGTTCCGGCACGTTTCTATAGTTTTATGTAGACGCTGAACCTCAATGAAACGGAACCTTAACGCGGAAACGGAACGATTTTGTAAGTCCCATACAAGTAAAAACCTTGCATAAACCGGAAAAATGGCGCACGCGTGTGTACTATAAGCCAAAAATAAGGTATAAAATGTAGTAGATAGGCGTATGTACAATGTACATCGTTTACAACAGTGATAAATAAAGAAGATTGTTTTTATACATATTCGTACAATATATGTACATACAATGCATATTATCGCATAAACGATACGAACTTTCTTTTTTGTAACTGTAAAACAATCGTACATACACCTTTAATTTTATGTTCCGTTCATCATATTAAATATTAAAATGCCAAAATATAACACGGAAGAAAAAATAGCAGCAACCGTGAACAAAACAAAAAACTCTTCATCATTTTTGGAAATTCTAAATGCTTATACGTCATATTTAATTGGCTTAGTATGTAATATGAAATAAAAAACCTATATTCCAGTTTAAATTGAATGAATTGTAAAACATATATTTTAGTTAAATTTTAATGAATTATATTATTTAAAACAATTGTTTGAAAAAATATTCTTTGGTATTTATTTGAATTGAATAATCCGGAATTTTTCCGTTTTATTGAATAAAGCGGAATTTTTTGTTGGTCCCATGCGATTCTGCTTTAGACAGTTTTCACTATATTTATAAAAAAATAAATATTAATAAATTTAAAAAAGTTTTAATCTCTTTTTAATCTTAACCCCCTTTTTATCTTAACACGCGTTAACGTAATTTACCAAGACCGGTGGCAATAAGTGATAATAAATTTCAAATAATGCATTGGTTGTTTTACAATAGGTACTATTTAAAAATGATTTATTATTGGTGGGTGTTTCATTTTTTATTTTAGGTTAATCGACCCGGACGCTGATACCTTCGGGACTGCTAACTCGTTGGGTGAACAGGAAGCACGGAGAGATGAACTTCCATCTGACGCAGCTCATGACGGGGCACAGATGCTTCAACCGGTTCCTCCGAAGAATCAACCACGCCTCTGATGACGGGTGTTCCCACTGCTGTCCACCCGATGAGTATGCCGAGGAGGAAGATGATGTTGCCCGCACACTCGTCCGCTGCGAAGCGTTTGACGGTGATCGGGAGCGACTTGTCCAGCAGATTAGACCTTTCGACCCGGGTGGACGGGTCCCCTTAATGTTGGAAAGCCCAGCCAACTAGGAGGCGGTATCCCGTTTCGCGCGCGACGTGATGACCGCCTAGGAGGAAGCGAAGCGTCAGAAACATGCCAAGCAGGGGTTTGCTCCGTCAAGGCGGGCGAAAAGGAGAATGGCAAGGAAACGGATCGTCTGACTGATCCCCCCTTTTCCGTCGGCCACCAACGGTTGCCTTCGCAAACATCGTAAATAGTTTTTAAATTTTTTAATTTTCTTAGTTTAATTATGTGAGGGGCAGTAGCCAAGGGATTGTCTCGGCTACACCCCACCCAGACGGATGACCATTGTTTGTGTGAATCCAATAAACGATGGTGACCCGCCACCTGAGGTATTGCTTCACGGCATTTCTAGATGGCGGGTGTATTGCCGGTAAAAAAAAAAAAAAAAGGTGCTTAGTCGAATGAAATGTTAGGTTAATCGAAATGAACAAAATATGTCTATATTATAAGTTATTTATCTGTACAATCTCGATTACCATGACGTTTTGAATCGCACAATATTTCTGCTGCGTTGCAAACCAAGTGTTTAATGTCACAACCGACTCTGTGTCGATCGAAGCCACACCAAGTCAATTATCCTGCGACTTTACGTAAAGTTATTTTCTTATCTTTAATTTTTTTTATAGCTTCATCTAGGTCAATACACTCAGTACTGCTAACGGCACGGCCGTTTTTGGCTGCGGACCAGCGTTCGGCTGTCGGCCGAGGTACCGGTAGACAACGGTCGGGTGACGATCATGGTGAACACCACGACGGTCGCCGACCAACATCGGTTACGGTCACGTACCCCGGTGCTGCGGCAGTCGATCCGGCCGTGGTACGTACTGCGTCCAACGCCGTACCGCGCCACCACGGCCGCCGTCGAACGAACGTCACCGTCGTTCGGGTACTCGGGACCATTGCCGACCGGTACCGTCGGCAGTAATGTCCGATGCGGTGCAAGCGGTACGGTTTCCGCTTTCCGTCCATACCCGTTCGAGGACGAGTACGGCGAAGTGACGGCGGAATCTTCCGCCACTCGAACCGCAGCGGGAGCGAGGTGGACGGCGACGAGACGATGACGCCGTTGTACTTGAACGGCAGCGGCAGTGATACCGAAATCGACGACGAGGCGATGGCGCACCGTTGAACTTGAGCGCCGGCACGACCGAGGTTCGTCCGTTTGACGGTGCCCGTCACGAGGACTTCGGATTCATCGTCCGCGGACGGTGTCCGTGGCCGGCTGATCAAGGTACGCACGTTTCGTGCGACGCGCACCGCGGACGGTCCATGTGGTGACGATGGTACGCGGCTATCCGCCACCGTACTCGATAGACGGTAGTCCGGAAGCTACGTGCCCGCCGACGTGCACCAACCAGTGGTGTATTCGTAATTTTTTTCTAGGGTATACGCTTAACACATAAGCTTTTATTGGTTGGAGGGGGCTAAAACCCTTAAAAAAAATGTTCTACCTATCTAAACTCAAAATTACATAATGTGATGGGGACGTGGGATATACCCCTACCAGACTTTTTTCCTAAGAGGTTAGGGGTGTACAAAAATTCAACAAAAGTATTTTTGGGGGATTTGAAATGGGCGCACGCCCCCTTAGTCCCCTTGGATCCACGCTATGGAAGTCTACATTTTAAACTTATCTTTAATTAAATCATAGGTATATATCATATATAAAACATAATATTAATTTTCATGTAACCTAATTTTTTGTTATGTGTAATAACATTTTAGTATTAATTTAAAATAATTTGCACAAATATGCGACGAATAAATACTAAGTGACAAACTGACAACAACATAATAATTAACTATCAAAATCTATCCAAAAACATCGTAGACAGATCATTTAATATTGTGATAAATTTAGAAACAAAACTTTTTGACTGTTGATCTATTTTTAACAATTATAATATCTCCTCGACAATACAATACCGTACGCGTCCACCGGTATTAAATTCTGATGTATGTAGACGCTCGGCAGTTTCCGACCTTCTTCGCAAAATATCCGAAGTCGGGGAAAATTTAATCGAAGTTTATGGGGGCACAAGGCTATTTTTGGACAGTAGCTGTAGTATATAACAATAATAATAATAATAAATTCTGTACTGTTGTTGTTTAATGTATACCTTATGGTGATGAAAAATTAGAAGCTTGCATATACCCAATGGCGGATTGGCCGATCGGGAAATCGGGAATCTTCCCGATGGTTCGGTCCTTGTTTGGGCCGCTCTATATTATTAGGTATATAATTACCAAAAAAAAGTTTTATAAATTAAATAAAAATCATTAAAAATATATATATATATTTAAAGATGCATTAACATCAAACTTCAAGTTCAAGTTGGAACTGATGAATCATGTGACTTATCCAAAACTATTATAGCTATAATTATTGTAAAGTTATTGTAGATTTTACTAATTTAGGGGTGAAACTAAAAAAATTTTGAAATTGATGCAAAATAAAGCATTTTTTGGTAGGGGGAGGGGTAAAATAGTTTAATTTACGGTTCATGGACCGGTTTGTTTCATATTTCCTGGGCCGAAAATAATTGCCAATCCGCCCCTGCATATACCCATTATGTACGAATGATTAGTTATCGTATACCCATGATAGACGAATTTTCTTAAAGGTATACGCATAATCCAAAAACAGGGATTCGGGTATACGGTGTATACCCGCATATACCCTCCAATACACCACTGGCACCAACATCGCGTCTACGACCACTCGCTGGGCTACGCGTGGGCGCCGTACGTCTCGTACCGACCGGTTTTGCATCCCAGTTTCATGTGCACCAACTGTCGGTTGATGTCCCACCGTTAAACTGTTTTTTTTTTTTTTGTTGTTATTAATAATATTAATTAAAATTATAATAATTATTGTTATTACATGTTATATTACTGTATCTTTCCTTAAAAAATAGGTCTCTTGAGTATTTTTATGATGGTTGTGATCAATGTCTTAAGGAACTGCCAGAGTTTAAGTTGTTGATAAAAAAAATTATTAGTCAAAGTGGATAGTCTAAACAATGTTAACTCCAGTAACAACTCAGTCTGTGCATCTTTCAAGTGAAAGTCAAGTCTAGTGTCATAATTTAAAAATTTTTTGTGCCCCTTCGGCCACCAAAGTTTGAACACGCTTATGTCTGAACGAAATATGTCGCAACAAAGTAATAATATAAAATTAATTACTGGTCAACGAGGCAATTTATTGGTTTTATTTAACAACTACAAATATAACCGAAATATAAAATATGCGTCTGATGAAATA